ATAACAGCTAAAGAGGGAGTCGATGAAGTGAAGAACTAGGACCATAATTTATCTTACATTATTTAAGGCAGCCATCTTCCAGTACTGACTTGGCTATTTTAGGGTCGCGTTGAATCTTTATGTGGGTTTTCTTTTTGTGGAAAGGGGGCACGTCCTAGTTCCATGACTAGCGGTGGGGTGGCACGCTTCGGCCCACACTGGGTGACACCCACGGAGATTTCAGGGTGGAGTCCGCACGACGTCAACTGGAATGGGCATCCGAGAGAGACATCTGACTCACCGATTAACGAACTAGTTAAGTAATCAACTGATCGATTGGTTAACTATCCGTTTGCTAACCTGCTAAGTGGCTTATTAACTTAGTCATTAACTACGTGAATGACAAAGTCAATGATTAACTGAAAAAATTCGATAAACGAATTAAATGATTAACTAATCGAATGATTAACCTGTTAAATTAATGAGAAACTGTTTGGATAACTCATTAACTGATGACTCATTGATTTACCAAAAATTGGGCCCATCTGCATACTGAGATCGCTAAAAATAGACATAGCGCCGCCATCTTAGTCTCGTTTTAAAGAGGAAGGATGAAAGTTTGTGCCAGTAGCGCTCCGACATTCCTGGCGGCCGGACGTCGCGAACTGCGCACGCGCAAAGTGAACCCACGATTTTCGACTTTCCGGATTCGACACGTGTCCATAAACGGGATCATATCTCAGAGACTAATTATCCGATCCGAGTGTACCAAGTGTTGTTTTGAAGAAGAGTGTATATGTTACAACTCATCCTGGCCTCCAAGTGTGTATCTCAAAAACTCAAAAAGATACGAGGCTGTGAATTTGAAAAAGTTTGAAAATGAATTAAACGATTCAAAACAAAATTTTTGTTTAATTTCAATATACTATACACGATTGACGTTTTCACGAAAATAACTGCGGCAGTGTCCGACACTGCCTATCAATTTTTTCTGTCTAAGCGTGGTCCGAGTTTCGTATCTCGTGGTAAATGCTAGGATTGTACATTAATACTGACCACAATGCTACCTTACTCTTCGCACGCAATTCGCCATTCATAATCATTCCATCATCTGACTACTTAAAGTGCCACAACAACGTTATTCTTTCATATCAAGGTATCACGTGGTGGACGTAGGTTTTCAAAGCATAAGACAGGGGTATACACAGTATGGCCCATGGGCTGCATGCAGCCCGCGGATCGAATTCCTTTTGCCTGCGAGCATCTAATATTTTCTTTAAAATCGTGTCAAAACAAAATACGCAAATGAAGTTGCCATTTTGAGAGAAGAGTCCAAATCCAGGTTCCAAGATTTCAGAAAGTACGAAAACATCTTTCAAATATTTACATCGCCCTTCGAATTAGATTCTTCATAAAAATAATTTCCACCAGCTCTATAGACATATCACACGTGTACGTGCTTTATTTGGTAGTACCTACGGTTGTAACTATTTTAAAAATGATGCATTTTAAATTAAAATTGAGGAGCGGAGTTACAAACACTGCAAATGAATTAACAGTTGCCTCCTCTAAAATCAGAGCGGACATTCGTCTACTTCGAATGCTGACGTATTTTATTCAGTCCTAATATATTTCAGAGTGGAGATATCCATTTGCGTGCTCTACACGTCTCCACGAAGCATATCCAGTAGAGCTGTCAGCGCACCGCGAGTGTCAAACAGAAGAATGTGCTGCGTGCGCATAAACATACATAAAAAACTCTTCTCTTATCTCCATGTTTCTAGTTACGTGTGGCAACAAGATCTAACTCTGAAAGTAGCAATAATAATGGAGAGTGATGCATGCCAAAGGAGGTAGAAGTAAGGATAAGAAATAATCAAAATGGTCCATCCACGACAATCAATGTTTTTGAAATGGCTGCCACGGCACCAGGCCAATCGGCCAATGAGCGTGCTGAATCCAGTGTGGCGTGGGAACGCGACAGCAAAACTCGCGAGATATCTGGCAAATGCTGTAGAATGACTGCATAACAGGTCACGTGTTAATGTCTGTCCACGTCTTCTTTCGCATGTTTTATCTCTGAAACTACTAAATGGATTTAAAAGAATCCGAGATTTGAAGTTCTCACAGCAGTAAAGATGTTAGCATGTCATCTGACTCGTGACATTATTTAGTCTTGCTGGTGGTTATAAATTCTGAAGGAGAAGACGACGTTTCTCAGAAACGTTGGTACCCGTCTGCAAGACTACGAACCATAAGGGCAACAATCAACATATTTCGATTAGATTTAATATTTGGGGTTTACACCAAAATCTGTCGCATGAATTTAATATTAGTCGAAAGTAAACATTATTTTACATCAGTGGTTTTGAACATTCTGATTCATGGACCAGTGAAATACCAACGGATTTTCCGAGGATCAGGACCCTTTGTCCATGCAAAACTACACAGTATTACACATAATAGCTAATATACAACATACAGTCTATCTACAAATATAAATATCATTGCCACGCCTAAAGATGTTTATTTACAATATAAAGCCTAAAGCTTTAAAGTCGCATACTAAAATCAGACGCATCATAATCTTCAGTACTGGTGACGTATCAACATATTTATACTGGTAAATCACCTTCATTTGATATACAGGTAACACTCGATTTACGCCGGGGATGCATTCCTGGACGAACCGGCGTAAATTGAAACTTTTATAATGTAAATCAATGGGAAGGGAATGACATGCGTTCCAAGCACCCAAACATTGACGAGTAATGGCATTACATTTAAAGCTCTGAAATAACGTAAATAAAATAAATGGGAATTTAAAAAATATATTTTATACACTTACAATCGGCAATTCGTTGGTCCCCGCGATTGACTGCGATTCTTTCATGAGATTGATGTGTACAGTCATCTCTGCTGTTATGCGATAGTTGCATTCATGTAAAACGCCGACCTATAGAAAATCGCATAGTAAAAATAACCCCGGGACCTTTGCAGAGATTATGCAAAATTTTGCATTTCACAAACAGCTTTTACCGATTCATCGATCTCAATGGGGCAAATTCGCGTTAACGAAACATACGTAATTGCAGAGATGACTGTATTTATAATTTTTATTCATAATCAGCGACGTAAGAATTACGATTTAGTATAAGAAGCGGTACGAGAAACATTGTAAAACGTTATAAATAATAGTAAAATATATTTTTTCACTTTTTGACTTTCTGGTTTCAAAATCGGCGCAAATTGAACCGGCGCAAATCGAGGGCTACCTGTATTTGTATGCTAGTAAGAGACGGCTCAGGTAATTAGTCCAAAATTAACAAACAGCTCAAGAGAACCCTTCCAAGGCCCCCCTGAAGCACAAACCTGGTTATACTGATGGACTCAAAGAACAAAATTCACTCATTGTTGGAGGAGTGCGATGTATCATTCAAACCAGTAAGTAATGCCCCACATTTTTTTTCTCAGCCAATAATGAAGATAGAAAAGTGCACTTTTACATGCTTGAGATTTGATGTTTCCCGCGTTCGTGTACGGAGTTTCAAATGATTCCAACCGATAGCGGAGCTGTAGTGAACTGTTAAAATGGCGTCTGTGAACGACTCTCGTTACAAGCAACGAGCTGTAATTGAATTCCTTGTTGCTGAAAAAGAAACGGTGGTGAACATTCATAAACGTTTGTGTGCTGTGTATGGAAGCTGTGCAGTCGATAGGAGCACCGTTGGTCGCTGGGCTAAGAGAGTTAAAGCTTCAGGAAGTGAAGAAACCGAGCTCCGTGATCTGCCGCGCTCTGGGCGTCCTGCCACAGCCACCACTCCAGACATGTTGAACCGCGCGGATGCCATTATTCGTGAGGATCGGCGCATCACAACTCGACAATTGGCCCAACAGCTTTCAGTCAGCAATGGAAGTGTGATTGCAATTATCCGGGCTCTTGCATATTCGAAGGTGTGCGCAAGATGGGTTCCACGAAGTCTCACAGCAGACCACAGGATTCAAAGGAAAACGATTTCTTCTGAATTGTTGGAGCGTTTTGATGCTGAGGGAGAGGTCTTTCTGTCCCGGATCATTACAGGTGACGAAACCTGGATACACCACTTTGAGCCAGAGACAAAAAGGCAGTCAATGGAGTGGCATCATCCTCAATCACCGAGAAAGAAGAAATTCAAGACAACTCCCTCCGCCGGAAAAGTCATGATGACTGTCTTTTGGGACAGTGATGGGGTCATTCTTGTGGATGTGATGCCAAGAGGTGCGACCATCAATTCAGACGCGTACATCAGGACCCTGAAAACCCTCAAGAAGCGTTTTCGACGAGTTCGGCCTCACAAGCATCCAGCAGAAATTTTGCTCCTGCACGACAATGCACGCCCTCACACAAGTCTGAGAACCCGGGAAGAAATCACCAAATTGGGTTGGACGGTGCTACCCCATCCACCCTACAGTCCAGATCTGGCACCCTCCGACTTCCATCTCTTTGGGCCCCTTAAAGATGCTATCCGCGGAACAAGATTTGAAGATGACGAGAGCGTGATTCAAGCAGTGAGGACATGGCTACGGGGACAGGACAAGAGCTGGTACCGGCAAGGCATGCATGCCCTTGTTCCACGCTGGCGTAAAACCGTACAAGTTGATGGGGACTATGTGGAAAAATAGTATGTGTAAAGGAAACATTGATTTATATTGTCACTAAATTTGAGCCATCTTGAATAAATATGTTCTGAGGAAAAAAATGTGGGGCATTACTTAATGAGCGACCCTCGTACAATCACCAACGTTAACTATGCAAAGCACTGTCTCAGAAAACCATTAAAAGCTGTAGGGTAACCAACCCTAGGGCATGAATTTCCAAATACAATGAGGTCCTGCTGGGTTAGGTTAGGGGAGAAAAAGGTCAAGCTAATGATAATAAGGAAAATGAAAGAAGAAATCAACTCTTAGGACAAGGAAGAGATAAGAATCTGGAGTGAATTTCTCAACATTTTCAAACTATTCTTCAGTAAAAATAACGAAAATGAACAACAATACGTAATCTTTAATATGAACATCGCTGTTTCTTCACAAAAATACATCAACAGACTCAACAATAAATTTATCCCACACCAATAACTTTCAAAAATTCTGCAGATACACAATTCGTCGACCACGTTAAATTTGGCAGCCGCAGATAGAGACGAACATATTTACGGGCCCCTTGGCCGCTGAGGTAAACACAGATTGTAATAAGCTGCCTTATTCCAAAAACTGACACCTTTCCAGCCACACCAACCCTTCCCTTGAATTATTTGCAAATCTTCACTTCCAGTGTAGTGAGGATCCAAGATCAAAAACTTCAGGTCACCAGAATTCTTATTGAAGTCCACACCAAGAATGGTGTGAGCCAAGACTCCGCCTCCTGCAAACCAATTTCACATTATTACAGCGAAGTTTCTCAGAACACGGACCCGTAGGAAAGCAGATGAACTTTTCAATTTGGAACCAAAGTTATCAATTAGACAATTGTGCGAAAGAATGAAGGTCAGTAAGATGCGAGGCCGAATGCGTGAAATTAACATCCAGTTCTTGAGAAACCCTAGCAAAATCACGAATTAAAGACACGATCCACCAATTCCGAGAGATAACAAAACGTAGAAATCCCGTGCGGATATTTTTCAAAAATACGTTTACGAAACGGATTCAAACAACCAATTAAATATGGAAACAATATTTGCTGATGATACAATTTGGCGAAATGAAAAATCAAGCAAAAACAGCAACTGGGTCACTGGAATTAAACAAAAGACCAAAACGACAAATACGAAGAAATCTACCGTCTCCTTCCGGGAAAATACCAGGATAGTACCGTAAATCGGGCCACAACCATTTCCTTCCGCATCCTCTCCAATTCACTATCATCCTCTCATTAAATGCCACAAAGTCATTAAATAAACTACAAACAAATAAACCCACTGGCTTCAAAGTTTCAATTTATCTAAAAACATACAACGTTGCTCTTCTGCATTCTACCTACAAATCTATGAGGTATCACGCCCCAGAAACCAACGTCATCGTCTTCACCATCAGAACCTAAAATCTCACAATCTAAAAGCCGACGTCAAAGTCGAGGAAAATGACATAATTTTCGAAGGAGAGCATAGAATTTTGCCGCTACAACAAGAGGGTAGTTTCAGTATAAAACAGTAGATGTCAGACGCAAAGGAATGATTAAAACACCAGAACTTCAATGACTTTGACATACTACCAACCTAATCGATCTTGGAACCATCGAGATTGATTAAGCACAGTACGAACAAAAATTAAACTGATATAAAATAATTTTGACAGGCAATGAATGCATGTGGAAACTGTATTCTGGTATGGATCACACCCATGTGGTCTCGTTTTATAACTTCCACACCAAACTTCATCCAAATCTATGAAGTAGTTTCAGTTGAAACACGTAGATGGACCATTTTCATAGCGTGTCCTGTATATTGAAGCTTATTACCTATCATGATAGGAGTGCCCTCAATCTTGAAGTGGTACGCCAACTCTCCGCCGAGGCTACCCAGCTCCTCGCCCGAGCTGACAGACAGAATCCTCGACGTAACGCCCAACATGGACTCCAGACAGAAACTCACTTCTGTGGAACCTATCCACTGGCACGAACCGACGAACGACGACGGTTTGTCACCGATGGTAACGAGACACTGTTGAATTTCATGATGTGTTGGGATTGCACGTTCTGAGTAACCCTGCCACCTTAAAAAAAGTACAGAACAATTAATGGCAAAATGACAGGGAAAATAAACACACAACATGGATTGTAGTCATTCTAGGTCGTTACCAATATTTCACAGGAGCATATTACTTCCATCTTCAGTACATGCCCACTTTTACCCTGAAAATGGTGGTAATATGTTCCTGTGACATGCTGGTAGCCACCTACAAGACTACATGGTGTCACAACCCAGAATACCACAATCCATTTCCAATATCATATTTTAAACACACAATCAGCTGTACAAAAACTGTTTCACACTTCTCTGGATTTATGAACAGAAGAAATAAAACACTTCATCAAGTTTACAGCAACAACCATGTATGCAACAGTAGCAGAACAAAGATTGATTTATATGTGAATAATTTCCTCTTCTGAGACACATGACAACTTTCTCTATGACCCAGTGTGGGTCTTGGATGCCTTTTTTTTGAGGTTTCTTGATCTATTTTAGACACAGAAAGACGCAAACATCAATGCCTTGAGTGGGATTCAAACCCATGGTCCCAGTGCCCATGCCCCAGAATGTGCGGCCACTGTGACCGGCACGTGGCAACTTATATACTAATAAAATACAATGTTATGGTTTTGTGAGACGCATATCAAAACAGGAATGCTGCATGATTTTCACAGGAAAAAATTCAGACTAAAACTGTGAAATTTACACAATAGCGAGGGGTGATTTAAGCCTATTAATGAGAACAGAAGAGCAAGATGTCATCACCAGTGTAGAAAAATCAATAAATAAAAATGTGTTCTATAGTTTCAAAATGTGATACAGCTTGTGGTTATAACGTTTAACTCTTCAAAAGGGACTGATTTTTTCAATAAAAATATGGCAATCTTGTAGCAGGACAACATTGCCCCATTATTAGCGCAAATAACTTCATGGGACACACGTCTGTTCTGGTTTATAAAGGTTAATACGAAGCATATCAGATTTGCTACATGTAATGGATAAAAATAAGTAAGAGTATGATTAAAGGTTGCAGTGGTCATTTGCAGCAATACTGAAATAAACTGAAAATACTTCGTCTCCTTAAAATTTAGTGAAACCACATCTCAGTTTGTATATACTCTGTGGGTCACAGCATGCACGAAGAGACAAACTTGCAACGGTTAGTGAGAGGCAACGAAGAGGAAACAAGGAAGGTTATATGGACAGAAGTCAGACTTAACAATGAAAGGTACGGCAAAGAGGTTAGGGCGATGATGACAGTCTTATGGGACACTGTGCCATGTAGTCTCATAGCAGTTGACCAATGTTTCAGAAGCATGAACTTCCTCCATCAAAAGACTGATGAAATATAAGTCAACTCCTATACGACTGCCCAGCGCAACATCCAAAAAGGCTGTCATCTTCATACTGACTGCTCAGCAAAGCAGCAAACGTTTTTAATCCTGTGTTACAGTCATTTGTGATTAAGGAATGAAGCATTTGTATTCTGCTATTTCCCACAATATAAAAATACACCTGTTTGTCACATTCTGTGTCGTGATCACGGTGTCTGCCCTAGTCGTACATAAAAATCTGAAGTAGTTCGTAGAAAAATCAACTAAAATCAATACATACTTAAACCAAGAGACAATAGTCTGCAATGAACGGTATGCACAGCCCCAACCGCTGTCATCAATATGATCTTGTCTGTAGTGATGATAACTGTACGTCCCCTGCACCAGAGAAACCTCTCCACCATTTACTGCAAAGAAATGAGGCATTGAAATTAATATCTCATAGGTGCAGTGACTGAATAAACAAGTATTAAGAAACCAGTTTGAGTCTTCTGGGATGTGACACTGTGTAGTCTCGTAGGTGGTTACCAGGGCTTCGGAAAAATCAAGTCTCCATTTTCAGATATTCAGACTGCATGGTACCACAACCCAAACACCATAACCAGAAGAAAATAGAAATGCCACAGTTTAATCAGTTATGTTACCTTCATTGGTATATGAACGTCCATTAACACATGCTATGGAATAACACGTGTACTGACAATACAGAAAACCCCATACTTATGTTCCTGAAATGTACGGTTTCCCATAATTTACAATATCCTTTTCCAGTCCCATTAATTTTGACATCATTTAATTATTTTTGGTCTCACAAAATATCACTTCACTTGAATTTCCTTGAATTTTGTATTTTTTTTGGTTTTCTTTGGCGGTTGGTAAACACAGGCTACACTTTATATCAAGAAACCATTTGACACAAAATGTCCCAAGCATCTGCAGCAATTTGTCACCAGTTTTCCAAATTACTACCAATATTTATATTAGACCATTCGCCAGACTTTGACATGCCCTTATCTCCTTTTAAACCTATCACACCTCTAGTCTAATCGCAACTGAACAATTCTGCTGTTCTTAGGGGGCTCTGTATCATGACGAGTACGGCCTGGTTTCAGTCTATCTGCCGCAATATTACTGCAACAGCTTCTACTGTGGACCTTTCTGAAGCTACTACACGCGTTATAGAGAATGATGATTATATCTGGTATTCACGAAGATTTTAAGAAATGACAGATGGACATTTTGGATTCAAAAATACTGAATAACAGTCTGAAAATGTCCAAATTAAGAGCATACCAACGATGATGTTCTGGGTTTTGGCGCCATGCAGATAACAACGTTTTGGAGAAACATATTGTCTCTACCTTCATGGCTGAAGATGGAGACAGAGTGTTTCTCCAAAATGTTGGCATCTGCCGAGTCTACAGACAGTACTAAAACGGAGACAAACATCTTCACTGCATTTTAAAAATGTGGATATGCAGACAAAACTGATATGAGGAAATAAAATTCTAAGTGTCTGAATTATCATACTTTTCCAAACATTCAGTTACAATTTACTGTAACTTACCTGTAGGTGTCAAACCTTCATGAACATTGATCAATGGTGCATTGACAGGAATGTCTTCTGTAAACAGGTGCGCACATCCACGCCTGAAGTATGGTCTGTCAAGTGGAAGGGCTAGCAACTTATGTAACAACCTGCGCTCCGTATCTGTAACAAATGCAGTGCAAGGAATGGTCAAACCAAGATCACTAATAATTTCAAGCACAGTTTAAGGTTAACAAATTCTATATTCTTAACTCTTAAAAGAATAAATTGCAAACAAAAATTAGAATGTTAATGGGATTGAAATCAACACTTTACACTGTATTTATGGTTTCTTCCCATACTGCCAACATGACTGATGCAAATACCATTGTCATTTTATTTATTTATCATTCATTTAACAACACTGTCAATAGATCAGATTATACAGCATTAAATTATATGATAACTAGCAAATAATGTATTGAATAAGATATGCAAGGAAGTGGTCATGACTAAGTTATTATCCTAACATTTTTTCGAGGAACTAGAGAGAACCACATAAAACTCTGCCAGGATAATCAATCTGAGCTGAGATTTGAACCTGGGTCCACATACAATGAATAAACATCCAGAAGTAGTATTCCCATTAAATTTTACAGCAGACTTCCCACACTACACATCACTCTCATAAAATATACCTTCTAGAGTAAGCTATGATGACTACATCAGAAAACATGGCTTTTGAAGTGAAGATCAAGCTTCCATGGCACCCCTTTATGAGTCGCTGCATGCTACACAAGTGTTTCCCCCTATAATGTGGTCATAATTCCTGCAACTGTTAAGTAAAAGCTATAAGCACATTGTATTTACACATTTTATGCTTGATTCACATGTAGAGTCGTAGACTGATCATGACTGTCCCAGACTTTTCAAGAAGTCAACTGATCATTCTACCTTAAAGCAAGTTTTGGAACGTTTACAGCAGTGAAGCTGTTAAAAAAAAAAGACAAAATTTTTGGCTGGTCAAGTTGATTTTTATCATGACAATGCACCTTCCCACACAAAGAAAGAAAAACCAGTTTTTATGTAATCACACACGAAGGGGCAGAAATGGATGTTGTGTCCTCCTTCCGGTTCAATAATTAAAAACACTTTCATAATCCAGTTATTAATGCTTACCCAGTTCAGAGTCATGCTTCTGCTTTTGATACACGACTGTCACAAAGTGGCCACATTCACGAGGTAGAAAATGGTAGGTCTCAGGTGCAGACACCACGAACATTGAATCTACAGAATTTGATATCTGCTCTAGGAATGAATTCTCTATCAGTTTCAAGTTCCGCCACAAACTGTCCACTAGTGCAGTATACAGGTGAACGACCTTTGAATTTCGATGCACCATCGAGATGGTGTCAACTTTAATGACGGTCTTCAGACACCGGTAGCTTCCTAATGGCATAAAACAAGAGAACAAGATGGTATAAAATCTGAAATATAAAGAAACACTTTGTAAAATAATTACGTATTTTCACATAACAGAAAATATAGATAATAATAAAACAATGTGTTTATACAATAAGTAATCACTGGGATAAAAGGAGCCAATTTTTTTTGGTGTCCAGTACGCACCATTCAGTATGGTGTGCATTGGTGGTTAGCAGGATTCACGACCCATCAGTACATGGGTTCCATCGGAACCGTGACATTGAACGCTCCTGCTGTGACCCCCTTTTTTCGAGATGATGATGAAAGTGGAGTAATTGTTGGGATGCCACGGAGAAACCCTGGAGGAAAACTCTGTGATGGCTGGATCACGGCCTTGCCCAACACAAGTTGTAAATCTGAGCACCGCCAGGAATCGAACCCGGGACCCCAGTATTACAAGCCCAGTGTTCTAACCGCTAGACCACCGTGGCGGTAGAAGAAGCCAATTCAACTCCCAAAACATTTTGTATGTCAAATATACTGTCTGTTACTTAACCCTTGCCCGCAATCTTTTTCTGTCCAGTAATATTTTAAGGTCAACTTCAGATCGGCTGCATGGTTACAATATCATTACATAGCTGTCATTCATAAGATGACCAATATGGAATAATGTTGTAGAGCAAAAATGGAAGAATGTCAAGAAACATTTCAACCAAAAAAGTGCCATAAAGCGTTATTTGACGACAGGCCTCAACTGTGTCTTAATAAATTAATCCCTGTATTTAAAGTTTTGGAGAATTTTTGTGTCGAGACCAGAAAAGAGTATTTAAACAGACTCATAAAATTATACAAAATGTGAAAGACAAACCAAGATAACTTACTGTTTATGAGATGTATGATAGGTGCACACTTGTTTGGAGACTCTACAAGACTGTCCCTGCTCGCCTTTAACAGCATTTCAACTGATAAAAGATCCTATGAACATCAACAGAGAAATCAAACAGAACAACACGTGTACCACTCAAGGTGAGAGTCTTAATTATACTCTTTTCTTCAAAGAATGGCACTGGAGAACCATTAAGTCAAAAAGGTACACACTCAACTTCCTCAGTGGCAATAAAACTCTGTGTCTATTGCTGTATGACAATATTTGCTCCCCAAATTTCATAGTTATGATAATTACACAGACATTAATGTGCATAAGAGCTTTATCTGTGAAGCATACCATAATTAGAAAATTTTCATTTTCATCAATTCCACTTTACTTGAAATTTGCATATTCAATACTTTTTGGAGGAACAGCATCAATTATTTCAGATCTCAGTCAAATTTTGTAAGCACATAATCTCACTCACTTATGTAACACTTTCTGGATCATTGTTTTCTGTATATCAAATGCAAATTGCAATGAGCAATAGTCTTCTTTGGATCCATACACACAAAACTGTCTTGCATTCATCAATTTCTTCTGATATCTGTAGACTTCCTTGAAATTTTTGCAAAGACCGAAAACTTTGAAATTTGCTGAATATTTCACATCAAATCCCATAACAATATGTCTCAAATTAAAAAATATATTAAACTTTAAAACCACACAGTTATTTTATAAAGACAATGAATGTAATTCTTATTATGGTTAATGTATGTATGAAATTAACTTATAATCTTTGCAAACAAAACATGCTTAAGGGGAAATGGAAAAGAAAAATGTTACTTTCAACTTACAGCTTCTTTAGGAGAACATTTCTTCTTGCCTTTTACTTTAACACGACCTCCAGTGAGGCTGTGATTTGATTCTGAACTGCCATGAATATCACATAATTCTCCAACTGTTTGGTCACCCGAAATTCCATTCAGCCCATTTTCTGAACTGCTGCTCTTCAGATACACACTTGATTTGGGGAAGTGGAAACATACGACTCCTGCTGCTACCTTGGAAACAAATTTGGAGAAACATGATAGGGTAAAAATGTGTAGTCTCTACAAACCAAACAAAAGTTATGGCCTTCTAAGGGAAAGATCAATTGTCGCTATCAGTGGACTAGTGGTTAGTATGCTTGCCACTGGACCCAATGTTCGCAGGTTCAATCCTGGCCGAGGTCGATGGATTTTTATGGGTGATAAAAATCGGCAGCACAACTTCCTTTGGAGAGGAAGTAAAGCCGGCGGTCCCATGTAACAGATTTATGGCATGTAAAAGAACTTTACGAGCATGATATGAGATGTTTTGTAAGCAAAATTCAATGGCCATTTCTCACCCAAGTCTCCTGATTCACTGCTAGATGGCTCTGGCAGTCAAATCAGGTATGGGTATAAATTGTGTGGAGTCAGTGGGTTGGTTACTCACTACTCTCACTAACACTGGAGCACCCAATGGGCATTGCTGGACAGGGAAATATAATATAACAACATTGATATTAACGGATATATTACGCTCTCACAAATATTACACATATTAAATACACCTTGGTGGGATAGGTTAGTGAATAAACTGAATGGTTATGAGGTGGAAGACTAGGTTTGAATACCAGCAGAGTCAAGAATTTGTCTGTATGTGAAAATGTCCCAAACAGCGCAATTCTTCTTAGCCAAATGGTGTGACGACTCTTTGAAACAGTACAGAAGCCAGAGTATGAAACTGACTATTCATCCCCAATCTAGTGCTGTCTATAAAGTGCTTGGGACAGTGTTGAGGTAAAGCAACAAATTTACTTTTCATGTTCCACATTCTAAGAGACTGCAGCAGTAAAAATTTCCTAAACATCGCATCCAGATGCCTACCTTCTTTTGCAGCATAACTAGTGTCTCACTGATGGCATCAGCTTGCAGTTCACATGTAAGTGGAAGCCTTGTCTGAAGACGCACGTGAACGAATTGTGTCCAAATGTCTGTTTCACTCACGACTTCGTAAGTGGCATCTTTCAGATTTTCATGCACGTATAACTGAGCTTTTATTCCAGTAAGATTGCCCAGCTGGTATAGCAAGAGAAGAGGGTTGTCTGTTATGTGTACATTCTGCAAGTGATGAGAAAAACAAAGGGTAAAAAGTGTGGAGGTAAAAGCAGACCTTAACTTCTATATTTAATGTGAAATGCCATTACATTGCTAAGTTCTTCTGTTTTAACACTTCAAACATATCAAATCAATTTTATTCACCAAACTTCTGTTATTTAGAAGGAAACATATTTAAATTAAACGCTTTACAAATGTGATCTGATGTGCTTTAAAATATACCCTGTACTGTCTCTTGTATTAATAATCAAATATATGATGAGAAAGGTATATTCCATAATGCAATATAACATCATTCAGATGAATTCTTTAAATTGATATTTCCAACAAATACATTCAAAACATTTACTCACTCATTTTACTATTATCCACATTGCTGATTCAATAACTTAAACCAAGCAAACCTATTTATAATTTATCTTTATTCCAGTATTTTGACACTCCACAGATTAAACAAAGTATAGTTTAGAAAAATACTTGCTACCAGCTTGGTTACCACTTGGTTATAAACAAAAGAATAGGAAGAGATATCTATACCTACTCCAAAGTTGATGTATCTAAAAAAACAGCTCATTACACAAAAGAGCAATTCATATTAATAAATTCAAAACTTAAGTCAAAGTATTTTGAAGCTTGATTAATATTAATGAAGAAATCCAGGAAAGAAAGTTCAAAAGCAATACATTTTTTTAATTCTTAAAAAAAGACTCATTATACCTCATTGCCTTCTGATTAAACACTTTTCAATTTGATGATCATTTAATGAGATAAATGTAAACATATATTCAGATCTTCATATCGGTTCCGATTGGTTGATAATGCCCAAATTCACATTTTGTCGCAGAGTTTTAGTACTAAAAGTAAAATAATTATGCTCAAAGTGAAAAATAATTATAACTTCTGTTGATTAAAACTGGCTTCCTAACTTATTCACAGAGACAAAATTTAAATTAAGCATACCTGCTCTAGACCTTCAAGAAATTCTGGTGTAAAATATGAATCTGTGAATGTGACAAAGCCACACACATCAACTTCAGTCGGAAAATGAAGCTTCGATTGACTGATACATCGCTCCTGATCATCAAGTGAGAGAGAATTACATTCTTCATTTAAATCAAATCCCAGTCCCACAACGAACAAGGTATCATCGTGCATCAAGCCAAATAAATAGCCTGAACATTCTGATGTCACTGCATTCAATCTCTGCAAAGCAGAATAATCAGAAGATAAACATAAATATTGTGTGTGATTAACTAAGATCTTTCGGTAGTTTTAAAGTGCCGTGTGCATGCTCCATGCACACTTTGAGGAGGAGAATCCAACTTTATCAAATTATCTGTAGAAAGGCAATGTCATTGGAAGTAAATTATGTCAATGAAAAACTCTAGGGTTACAAGCTGCGTCAGGTGGCCGAGTGGTGAATAAACCATATCTTTTGCCAACGTTTCGAGAACAATCTCTGCTCTCATCCTCAGGGCTGGTCAGGTGGCTGAGTGATGAGCCACCTGACATGGCTTGTAACCCGAGAGTCTTTCATCAACTTCAGTTGTCGTGGAAGCTTCACTTTATACAAATGATGCCAAGTTTCAAGCTTTCCAGAACTGCAGAAGTGTAAACTTTCAAAAAGTAAGAAACACAATATACATACCTGAAAACATGCACAATAGTAGATTAACCTTTTAAAGCCTAGTGGTAACTATATGTACCATAAGTCAATAATTCTGAATTTTGTATGTATGGGTTTAGGATTCTGATTCTCAACATAAACTGGTATTATTTTCTTAAACAGCATTAAAAGGTTGATCTTTGTAATGAAGTATTGGGGTTTCTTTTGGGCAGGGACTGAATTCTTAAATATTATTCAGACAACCTTCAACTTTGAAGGGTTAAGATAATAATAAAATATTGAAAGTGAAGATGATTTAACAGCACTGGTTGTTTGAGACTGTCAACAGATTAAACATATCAAACAAACAATTAAATATTAAATTTAACCTTAATTTCAGTAACAATATTTCCTTTGTGTCAGATGAAATTTATTATGACTTAGTCTTCTTGAATGAGAAAGTGGCATTTCCTCCATATCGGATATAATAGCTTTTCCACCATGACATGAAGTCAAAGCTTTGTTCATGGAAACAAGTTATAGAAGTTATGTTTTATGATACTTCTTACTGAACCTCTTATATTATTATATTTCATACCTTCTTCTCTGTCTTACATTTAATAGATTGATGCATTCCTCAAAATGTGCAAACTTCCACAGGGCATAATAACTAACTCATTCATGGCCTTTTTTAAGCAATTTATAGCAGCTTGGCTGGTTGATAATTTCCTATTTTATGTGGGACCCTAACAACAGTCTGCCAATGAAAAGCCTAACCAAAATCTAATTTTCATTAACCAGCCAGAAAATTTATTTGATTTACAGAAGTGTGTGACCATAACAGCATAGGTATGTTAGCCGCCATGGCTATTTGTGCTTGCATATATATATCAGTTTCCACATTCATTACCAAACACCTAGTGAAAGTAGGTTTTACATGCAAGACTGTAATACAGCCTAGCAGTGGGTTTTATGATAAAAGAGCAACATTCATGCACAAGGATCGTGTATTAAAAAGTGATAAAATATGTAAGGCAGCAAAGTATCAGAATATTTACACAAAACAAAAAACTGACCTAGAAAAATCCTAAAAGTATGTGCGACAGAAAGAATGCGACAATGTTAATTCAAGTAAAATAAATCACACAAGAAAACTGCCTACCATATCTTATCATATAGAAACAATGTGAATAAAGATACACATTAGAATTTCCGCACCTTGTCAAAATTATAGTGTACGGAGCCACAGAAAATTCCACATTTATCAAATTACTTTCCTCCGTATGAAGTAAAGGTGATAAGTCACGTAGAGATTTCACTGTGGATACTGAATACCTGAGAAATTGTACTTGTGGATCCTTCATCTGGTAAGCGTTCTTACCTACTTAATATACATAAACGTCTGGTACCCATTTCATTTCCTGTGATATTGAAAACTGGTGAAAATTGTATGATAAACCTCATAATACCAGACAAGCAGGGAGTTCCTAAGCAATTTAACTGGAATTTGAAAATATACAAATCACATCTCAGAAGCCAAAAATAATCTTTGCTGCTTACAAAGAACTTCGATTCAAACAAACATTTTTCGTAATACAGCCACCACAAACGTGGTTACCCATATTGCTATTTCGGATCGAACTGGTGGAGACGATTACCAAAAGAACTATAATATTGACTACACAACTAAGTAATGCATATGCACAACACACCAACTTCTATTAAAGGCGGTAATATTACTTAATTTGTAACTCACATCAATTACATTACTGGAAATCTTCAGACGTGGAAGCATTTTGTAAGTTATTTATACCAACTTTACAAACTGACACATGTAGATACGTGACTATCACGTTCTATGTTGCAAATTATGTAATACGTTTAATAATACAAATTATTCACGTATGCATGCAACATTTCGGTTGACAATCACAGTATTATATAAACTGTAATACAAAACAAACATAAATCTGATTCTTTCAAATATTGGTAGAAAATCGTATTAACCGAAAATTTTATTACATATGATACAACCGTAAAAAGCAACCAAGTTTGATTTCTAAAATTACGGCAAGTCCAGAATTTTCAATTCCTTCTTTATCATGTTCATGTTTCAGCAATAATATTTTCGATTTATAGCATAGCCCCTGCTTACGTCATACTTTCAGAGTGAATTGGTATGGTTATGTATTTACGGTATCTATGGCGTCAGCAATCTGTGAGTATATTGTGCTGCCATCTTTGAACCACATATTTCAACACTTCACTGGGACTCTTGGATTTTACAGCTACTATCATTCCATTGTTAACTGTAAAATACTGTCATAACTATGTAATTTATATTTGTATTAGAATAAAATATTGCATCTATGCTACATGTTCTTTTTCCTTGGTTTGGGCCTGTGAAGGATGTATGGAATGTACATTAGTCTTTCTGAATCCATCAATTTCCATATTCATTCAGCCATGTGAAATTAGCTTCCAGTTTGGCAGCAATAACTAACAGACCACATAACAAAAAATAGAAAACTTTGTTTAGTCCACACAAGTAGAAAGTTTCTAATCAATTTAACTGGAGTTGGAAAAGAAACAGATGTCCAATTATAAACCATCACACCAGTATGAGCATTTCAATGGATGTAACTGAAAGGTTTTAGCATACATAAGTTTTATGAACTAACTGTGAATGTTGAATTTATTGCATTTATTTTATTTTAAAAAACCAACATAGTTGTCCCATTCACTGTCATATAATCAAGTGATGTACTCCCACCAATGTATGAAATATATGGATGGATATTTTTCATTCTTCTTTTTCTTTGTAACTACAGATAATGTAGTGTTTAGTAGAGTAGGGGTAAACACGAAGCTGGATGATAACTAATATTGCACAGTACCTTAAATACTGAAATGCACATTATGGTGCATTAGTTGAAAATCAGACAATCAAAATGACACATATAATAACCTCATAAAGTTTGGCACACATCTGACAGGACATTCTGTATATTTATGCTTTTGAAGTTTCCAATCATAAATAATGTTTCCCAGTAGAATAATTATTAACATATAGTTCTGTAACTGTTGTCTATTAACTGAACCTTATATTTGTAAGGATTCCTTCCAACTGTAGGGCAATGAGTAGTGAGACTTGATGTTTTTAAAATTTTAAGAAATGTGCATTGTAGATGATGTAAGTTGTAACATCCTCATATTTTCCTCCTGCCAGTACAGCAAATACTTATAACAGACACATCTTATATAATTCACAGCAGAAATAACTGAGTGTAAAATCTCCAATTTTTTGGCTCAGAATCACACATATGTACATGCATACATCCTACCTTAAGTAAAATTTTGTAACATCACAGGGTTAAAATCGACTCTATATAACTGCAGAATGTAAGTCATAAATTGCAATGAATCAGTGGTTCCTACTATTATTGCAATTTAAAAATAAATAATTGAGTTGAATTAAAAAATTGAATTTTATGACTACAGGGGGAAGGATAATCATGTCCTGTGGCAAACTGCACTTTATATGGGAAATATTTTCAAATGGAACCATTTTTGGTAAATTTTGCATAAACAATTTCAAATAATATAATACAGAGAAAAGAAGTAAATTGATACAACACAATGAAAACAAAATTAAAAACAGAGTCTTAGCCTTTATCATACAAAAACAAGTGACTTAAAACCCTGTACTATAGGGCTGCCAGCTGGACTAAAGTCCAGGGTTTAATGGTTTCGCTGTATGCTACTGTGACATACTGGCTGCTGGATGTGCATAAACCGTGCTGCATGGATCACTTTAGGTAAATATGCAAACAGTATCATTACAGAAATAAATGGCTCAAACTCAGTTACATATTTTTTCTGAATGATAATATTTCAAAGCAAAGTCCAAATGTAGTCCATGCTTCCTTGTACATGTTATACAAGTAATGTCCCTCCTGCCACTTTCTTACCTGCTGGTAAAAACAGTGTAGTCTTTGCTGTTGCTAGTGACATTTGCATAGACGAAGTGTTGCTTGCAATCAAGCCACTTTTCTGTGATCAGTTGAATGTTTTCTGTTTCAGGTGCTTCTACTATTGTGAAACTCTTTCCAAGTTGTATAGAATAAAACTCTTTATAAAAATACATCAAGCAACCAAACAAACAGCTTCTGCAACCATTTCAAAGATTGCCTTAAAAAGTTGTATGCTAACATCAGCAGTCACGAAAGTCAGCCTCTCTCATGGTCTCAGTATTGTCATTTATCATCTTAGATTTACAGTTCCACATTCTTCAGTCTTATATTCCTCTCCTGTTATTCTACGCGCTCAGTGTAGACAAAGACCTTGTGTTGCCATATAACAGCAAGCATTTTGTTGCCTTACCAATATACATCATGCTCTTTTATTTTTATATTCACTGCTATGATAACCTCAAATTTCCAAATTCTGCTATTGCAGTATAATGTTCTAGGAGCCACGGTAGCTCAGTCACTGTAGTGTAAAGCCGTGGAATCGACAACCAGTGTTAGATTCCTTGCAGGAGTAAAGAATTTTTCTCCCATCTTCTGTTTCCAGACCAGTTCTGGGGTCAACCAAGCCTTCTATCCAGTGGGTACTGGGGAACCCATTGTAAATGTTCCATTAAATTATGGAGCTTGAACTGAGCTAGAATGTACTGAATTTTTAGCTTCATATCTGAATAAAAATTACTAATAATAACCTAGAATAATTTTTGAACACGTAACAGTGTATGTATGAGGCAAAATAATTTTTTACTACAGACTATGTCTACATTCAATGCAACAAACTCTTTCCAAAACTGAACCAAGCTTGTAAGTTACAATTCCAAGTTAATTTGCAGTCCTTATATATATTTCTGCACTCTGAAATAATTTTCTCAATGTCTAACACCATTTGAATACATATATATTTGTCACTATACAACTTCTTTACATTCCTATGGATAATCACTGCTGTAATAAATCTATTCTACTATTCATTTCAGTTTGAAAATATATTGTAATATAAAATGATAAACTGCAATGATGTTCAATTTAAAATGTGCAGGAAAAGCATATTTTGCATACAGATCTCACATGCCTTCAATATGATGAAAAAAATTACATTTATTTTTTGTGTAGAAACTTCATATTCCACTTCAAATATATATTTATTATTCAAGTCTATACACAAACTTTTAAATTGTTGATGTTAAAATTTAAAATCACCATTAATATTCTGCGCCATTCATCGTTATCTCGATGTTACAATATTGCGCTATATATTACCTACATGTTTCAATGTCATAGCATCATCTTCAGGTTTTTATCTTTAAAACTATTCTATATTTATTAATGCACGCTTTTCATTGATTGTAGATTGTAGATTACTGAAGATGATGCTATGACATTGAAACCTGTAGGTAATATATAGCGCAATATTGTAACATCGAGATAACGATGAATGGCGCAGAATATTAATGGTGATTTTAAATTTTAACATCAACAATTTAAAAGTTTGTGTATAGACTTGAATAATAAATATATATTTGAATTTTGAACACAAACATGACGCATCTAAACTATAAACTTCATATTCCACATACTAATTTCCTTGGTTCAATTTAAAGCAGAAAGTTAAAGTCAACTGAATGACAAATCCTTGTTCCTATTCATACTCTCCATCCAAATTACAAAGCAATTAACTAACTACATGGAACACAATACTTCTTGAGAAGATTATAGTTATAGAACTAGACAAGATACACTGTCTTCATTGAACTCAAATGTTCATTACCATGTTCACAAGAGCATGTCATATGACCCTACTCTAAGCCAGATGAATCCAGTCCAGTCTCACACCCTATTCAAAGCGTAAAACAGGGTAATTTAAAATGGACTCGTTGGTTTTAAAAATTAAATATATATTTTAATTTGAGACATATAATCATGGGGTTTATTGTGAAATGTTCAGCAACTCAGGATCATTGTTCCTCACCCGCTGTTCAAGTGTACTGAACTCACTAAGTGACAATAAAACTATATGCCTGATGACGCCAGTGTAAGGTGAGCTCGGTAGCTCAGTCAGTACAGAGACTGGCTAAGGGCTGGGCGATCAGGGTTTGATCTCTGACAGAGACAGAGGATTTTCTTCTAGCCTCTGCGTCCAGACCAGCTCTGGGGCCCACCCAGGCTCCTGCCTGGGGGTAAAGTGTGGCTGGGATGTGTTGCTGACCATTCATCCTCATTTAGTGCCGAGGTTGAAAATGAGTAAGAGCTATATATGTCCTCACTCCTGTGTGCCTACATGACGCTTAATGGGATGACATTTGCAGTCAGAGTAAAGGCATTCATTCAGGAGCAATGCCAATGCATCTAAGGTTTGCAGAGTGCATGTCCACTGTCACTGTTCAATGAAACATTAGATATAGTATGTATGGAAGAGTACTTCCAAGAGCAAAATTAATTCATCACCAATTTACAAAATTTAAGGAAACAAGAAGTGCTTTTAAATTAAAAGTCAACATGAGGATGACAAAGTTCGTGAGAGGATACTGAAATAACATGAGTACTGTTTGCACGAAGTGTAAACAAACCCATCACTTGCTGCAAATTCAATTTTAACATGAGATAAAAGACACAGATCCTATGGGGGAAAACAAATCTAAAATGTTGAATGAAAATTATAAAGATTTTCTAAAATTAGTATAACGGTAACAATGGACTTGATCTCAACAAACCACATGCCACATTAGGCTTTGTTCATGAATTGATAACACTACACTAACAGTATCAGGCACACAATTATGTAACCACTGAAGGAGTCAACTGTGCATGCATGTACTCATGCCCAGCAGGTAAGGAACAACTTTCTGAGCTGCTGAACATTTCATAGCAAACTTCATGACTACTTGTCTCATGTTAAGTAAGGTATTACACTTTAAAACTAGGATACTCTAAGATACATGAGTCCAGTCTACACCTTTATGTCCTATTGTCTTAACATTCATTTTAATAGTATGAGGGGCGTATACAAATGATTTAGACTAACCTGAATTATGTGATCCTTGATGGTGGTGGCTCCCATTTTACACTTCGGTCCGTTCCACATATTCTCCCTGGAGGTCGATTCACCGTTGCCATCTCTCTGGCAATTTCCGTATTGCCTCACGAAACCATTGTTTGGGGGTGTCTCGTACCCACTCCCTGACAGCATCATGTAAGGCGTCTCTATCGGGGAATTGAACACAGTTGCACGTGCAGTCACTGGGGCTCACCGTGATCCCACACCCGCCTTATTCCCCGACCTGGCACCAAGTGACTATGCCCTCTTACATGAGATGAAGAACCCCCTGCGTGATCACCGACTCCCCGATAGAGACGCCTTACATGATGCTGTCAGAAAGTGGGTACGAGACACCCCCAAACAATGGTTTCGTGAGGCAATACGGAAATTGACAGAGAGATGGCAACGGTGAATCGACCTCCAGGGAGAATATGTGGAACGGGCCAAAGTGTAAAATGGGAGCCACCACCATCAAGGATTACATAATTCAGGTTGGTCTAAATCATTTGTATACGCCCCTCGTATCTTGTATCTACCCTTATCTCCAAAATGCTTCTTTTCTGGTTTTTGTCAGAAAAAGTTATTTCAGACAACTTGATATTATAGCTTATGACTTGTGTGCACTGAATGGTGGTCGTAAAGTGCGAAGTGAAGTTTTTGACAAAGGAGGCTAACTTTTTCAATATACTTTTTGAAAGTTCTTTTGTTCTGAAATGAGAACATGCAGTTTCTACATATTTTAATATTATAGCAGAACTATTTACGAAAAATAAAGCTGTATTTTTTGTTACATATAGCATATCGTTAAAATAAAATTTAGAATCAACAGCCGAAATGGAATTTGTAAAGTGTTTCTGGTGAAACCCTGTACCGAATTGATCTCCCAATTAGGCCACACAGTCTCAGGAAGTGAAAGGAAAAGGTAAAGGGGTGGGGAAAACACAACAGCGCATGGTCAACAGGAAAAACAAACAGTTTATTAGCCGTAACCTCTTGGCACATAAGTACATTGCTTATAAAATTAAATAAATAATTGTTCAGAAAATCAATGCTGCTTTTTGTGTGGACGTGGAGTAGAACTGTCACTTTGTCCACGTTCTCTCTTCTGCCCCACTCTCTGCAACAAAACAAATGTCAGTTCCCTGCGATAGTTTGTTCAATTTATACCTTCACTTTTCTTAACGCTTAAATTCATAACTGTCAGGAGTGATTTACAAAGAAAGAAATGGAAGCACACCACACAAATTTAACATACAGGGCAAAAAGCTGTTTTCATCCTTGATGTACATGTACAAGGAATTCCTAAAAAAGAAAAAACAAATCACTCTACCCTTTTGCTACTGACTTGTAAACTAAAATAACAGACACTAATAATAACTGCATCTGTTACTTTCATGCCATTCTTGCATTCTGTGAGCCACCTATTAGGGCACGCCGTAGATTGTGTACCAAATTGTTACCACGAGGGGCGTATATAACCTGAATTATGTGATCCTTGATGGTGGTGGCTCCCATTTTACACTTCGGTCCGTTCCACATATTCTCCCTGGAGGTCGATTCACCGTTGCCATCTCTCTGGCAATTTCCGTATTGCCTCACGAAACCATTGTTTGGGGGTGTCTCGTACCCACTCCCTGACAGCATCATGTAAGGCGTCTCTATCGGGGAATTGAACACAGTTGCACGTGCAGTCACTGGGGCTCACCGTGATCCCACACCCGCCTTATTCCCCGACCTGGCACCAAGTGACTATGCCCTCTTACATGAGATGAAGAACCCCCTGCGTGATCACCGACTCCCCGATAGAGACGCCTTACATGATGCTGTCAGAAAGTGGGTACGAGACACCCCCAAACAATGGTTTCGTGAGGCAATACGGAAATTGACAGAGAGATGGCAACGGTGAATCGACCTCCAGGGAGAATATGTGGAACGGGCCAAAGTGTAAAATGGGAGCCACCACCATCAAGGATTACATAATTCAGGTTGGTCTAAATCATTTGTATACGCCCCTCGTATCTTGTATCTACCCTTATCTCCAAAATGCTTCTTTTCTGGTTTTTGTCAGAAAAAGTTATTTCAGACAACTTGATATTATAGCTTATGACTTGTGTGCACTGAATGGTGGTCGTAAAGTGCGAAGTGAAGTTTTTGACAAAGGAGGCTAACTTTTTCAATATACTTTTTGAAAGTTCTTTTGTTCTGAAATGAGAACATGCAGTTTCTACATATTTTAATATTATAGCAGAACTATTTACGAAAAATAAAGCTGTATTTTTTGTTACATATAGCATATCGTTTATTTATTTACTTACTAGCAAAGTGCCCCCCAATGTTACTGTGGAAAACCTGGGACCCTTTCTCCTCCTGTCGGATTTGTTGCAAATAGATAACCTTATACAGTTGGCGTTAATATGTGGTAATGTGCAAAATCACCGTCTCCTGTATGTCTTTAGCGTTAATAAATTTCGACCTGTTCTATAAATTTTTTTTGGATTTAAGTAATTATTTCCGTAATTAATTAACATGCAAAGGCTGTAAACAGAAGTGATGGCTACTAATTCAGTGTCTCAGCCACAGTTAACATGTATAATCACTAAATCTGCATAATATTCGTTATATATTTTCTTAGCTCGATAAGATACTTCGCCTACTACAAATCTATAGAAATTCCAGCGTGTTTTAATTCAATCAACAACGAGCTAAGCTGACGAAGATATGAAATTCAATGGAACCAAAACTTGCATCACCACAAAAATACATTATTTGATATCAACCAATCTTTATCTTTGGTATTAACATCTTATTATTTACATTCAATACTGATTTGTTTCGAAACTATGTACTTATTTTTAAATGAAATTTAAACCGAAATGTATAACAGGCATTCAATTAGTTATATATGTGGCAATGAAGTATAGTTTTGATCATCACAGGGAATGTACCGATTATAATTATTATTAACAAAGGTTGCCAGAACTGCGAGTATGGGTCATGACAACTCGCTGACATTTAAAATTCGCAAAAATGTTACAGTTTGCTCTTGATAACCTGCCATTTTTAGGTGAGTTAAAACATTATAGGGTTCTTGTTATCTTCTGGATAAAACAGACAGCTTACGTCTTAACTATTTTTATACCATCATTACTTTAAAATGTACAAAATAATATGTGCAAACGAGGTTCGGTATAATGCCAAAAGTAGCCCAAGACATCTTTCATATCGTTTACAATTTATACAAATCCTTCTGTATGAAGCTACAAACCGAAGCAGATGTAAAAGCGTCGTTACATAGGCTAAAAACCAACTACCTCCACATCATTAAGTAGCCCTGAAAATGGAGGCAAAATGTTGCTCTTAAAGGTTTGTATTTACATATAAGTCTACAGTACATGGCGTTGCAACCGAAAGGACCTGTGTCGACATCTATCGTGAGAACCTCAAACCGATAGCACCGAACTGCTGGGACACATTTCTATCATTACTGTGAATTGTGATGGGCAGTTTCACTTCATTACCCACCGGACTAGATCTTACAAAGTAGTGAAAGCAGCATCAACTTGCCTTCACAACGCAGCTGCAGAGAAAGGGAATACATATAAAACGAGAGCAAAGTTGTTTAAGAATGGCAAAAATATATTTTCCTACGCCATTCTTTCCCTGGTAGCTCTACGGTCAGAACATATGACATGAGTTAACTATATCCGCTTCACGGACAGATTAGCTTAAAAGTTGTTGTAAATGTTAATGCGACGGTTAAGTTCAAGAAGCGTAACCGGGTTTGTATTTGGGAGTGCCTGCTCTCAAGATGCAGGCAGGAAGTTGCTCTGATAGGTAGAAAGCTTCTGCCGCTAGTAATACGAGTTTGCTCTATATTTTTGAAGCATTTTCTATTTAAACAAAACACACGCGTGCCTCTACACATTACAGTCAGTACCTCTACTGTTAATTACCTCCAGCCACAGTAGATAACGCACTGTATCATTTTTAAATTAACACCAAACAAAGGGCTAGACGACCAGTGTTCGATTTCCAGCAGAATAGGAATTTTTCCTTCGCTATAATGTCCAAATCGGCTCTGGGGCCCACCGAGCCCCAAATCAAATGGGGTATAGGAGCTGTTTTCTGTGGGGTTAGACAACCAAGACGTGAAGCTAACCACACATTCCATCTATCCCGAATATAAAAATACGTGGAGCTATAATTCCATTCGTCAAACGTCTACATGCTTAAAAAAGCATAAGAAAAACTTCACTTTTCATATTTTACAAATAAGTTGCAGAATGTACAAGTAAAGTATATGTGACCGTTGTGGACTCCAACTGTAGTACTAATGGGACTCCACAGGTGTGTATCTTGAATCCTAGTTGTTACAGGATACCCTGATTAAACTCTTTAATTTTCCTCAGTTTCTGTAGGCCAGTTCCAGGTAATGCCGTCAAATATACGACGATTCTCTTGTTCAAAATTCATCGTAAGAGTTCTTGACCATTATCTAGTCTCATTCGTTGCATATATCCACTACAACGTATGAATAAATCAATCAAATTTCCTGCGACGTGAATATGCAAGCGAGTGAGTAATAATAATAATTTAAATCTTTCGAAGTTACGAAAGAGATATCTCGGTTTTAACGCGAAACTTTTTCTGTGAACAACTTATTGACTTAGTGTTAAAATATCAGCTAAATATTACTTTTCATACATCTCTTCTGTGTGGTAAATTCATTGGATGGATTCTCGAGGCGGTGAGTCTGAAGATGGCTTCTAGGTTGTTGCGTCATGTAGTCCGGTAGAAGTTTACGGATGTTTCAGAGGTCCTTGCTTCCTAAATTATAAGGGCGATTAAACATTGGTAAACTACCAGACTATTCGATTTTACAACCTACAAGACAGTCAACTTCACTGGACGTTGTATTTAATTATGTACGTACAGAAATAAAATACGTAGTTTTTAGTAATTAGAACTCTGCATATAAGGAATTAAGCCATTCCACCCGGATGGCTTGTTTTAAAGAAAGCTGTTTGGTTTTGTTTATAGGCCTACTTTTAACTTGAAACAGACCAATGACTTTCTCGTGAAGTTGATACGTGAAAGATCAGCGAGGAATGGAGTGTCGTTGTGCAATGTTACGTATTTATTTATTGTTTATTTAACCACGTTGCCAAAAGCTAAGATTATATAGTGTCGAATGATAGGTTTATTAATATATTAAAATGACTGTGGAACGTGTCAGTCGTGGCCTAATTAAAGGTACTATCCTGGTATTTGCCTGGAGGGACTGAGAAAAACAACGAAAGGCCTCAATTAGGACAGTTGGTATCAGGAACAGATATGAACCTAGGACGTGTCAAATAAGAACCACTCGCCCACGACCTTCGACAATATTATTTTGAAGAAACATAAGTATGTTTACTCTTTTATATAAAGAGGCATATCACTGTGTTTGGTTCAGTTTGAAGTTATATGTTGTTTAGCGCGTATATTTTAGTTTTTATAAAGTTTCTTGAGGCGTTATAAAAATTGAAAATTCTTTGAATCCCTTTCTACAAATCACAGCCGCGTCGGAATGTTTATAAAAAGTACAATTCGAGTAATTAGACCTTCACTCTGAGGACATCATGGGAAAAGTTGTAACAGAATCATTGTCACTTACAATGTTTTGTCTGGAACGAGCGGTGATGAATTAATAAGGAAGACAGTCCAAAGCGTTGGTCGGGCTGCGGATATAATACCAGTTCCTCTGACGAAGCGAAGCGCAGAATCTTAGGGTGGGGCATAGCAACCGGTCTGCACTGCTCTATATATACCCCGGCGGATGTACTGAAAGGCAGTGAGAACAGAAGCAAGACATCGCAACAATGGTATGTACGTAGCTCAAGCGCATATTCTTGCATGCAGATCAAAATCATTATATTCTTTATAAAATATTTCAATTAAACATATAAAAATTATAGTTCTATATTTATGCATATGGGTGAACATCTATATACACCTTAGATAAATAAACGAATACTGAGGACATTTGATAACGAAATCCTCAGATTTAACGGACGTAGGATAAATAGGTGGCAGGGCAGTGGTTTTTTTGTTGAACGTGGAAGTTCACACGAGTGTTTACTCCGTTACGCTACTTTACGATTTCCGTTGACGCAAACTCTTTTAAATTTAGCTTGTGAAGAACAATTTTATCCGACCATCTGAAGATAATCTTTCATTTGTCCTCTGAGGGGTCTGTCATTTTTCTTCGTCCTTCATTAAATTACGAAGCCTAAAAATCCGTATTTTATAAAACCCAATTTGATGTTTGCTTGCTTCGATGCAGCTTTGTTACATTCACAGGGACCTAAAGGAAGATTGGGGTTATTCAAAAACTCTTTCACAGTTAACAAACACCTGGGTTAATATCAAATTGTTACTTCTGAGGTTTGTGGCTTAAGCAGATTCACAATCCAAATATTTGAAATAAACATAAATCGCCAAGTTTTCATTATCCTTTGGAGAAATAAAAGCACACTCAACAAATAATTTTAAAGTTACGAACTTTTCAATTCTCGATTAATATATAAAGTGACGAGTTGTAAAGAAACTTTGAGATTGTGAAGATTTGTCATAAAATGGAACAAATAATATTTTTTCCTAGCAGTGTCAAAACAATAAAACGAATCTTCCAAAACATTAGATTCAAATTTAAAAGAAATTGAACGACGGTAGACACTTTTTATTACTTGAAACGCAAGACATAACTATTATTACAATAAATTTTCTTCTTGGTGAATGAAGTACGAAGTTCAAGTGGTGCTTTTACTTTTATGAAAGTCGAGTCTGAGAAAACTACCAAATTTCATTTGCCAGGATTCATTATTAATTGGTGGGTTAAAGAATCCTACTAGATAAGAACGCAGAATTAAATTGCTACAAAGAGAATCAACAAAAATGTAATTTCTTGAAAGAAGAAAGCTCGGGTACAGGTGCCAAAAACCAGATTGCAAACATTCATTCAGATATGAATATCGCGTTATTTCAAGAATAGTTCTGCTACCAATTTGTAAATCCACCGGAAGAAGAATCGATTGTTATGGCTAATGTGAGTTATCATTCCGTATTAATAAAAAAACCCGACACAATAATATCAACGAAGTCTAAATTTATTAAGTTCCTGAAAGAAAAATAATCAGTTTGACAACGTTCCAGAGTAGAGTTGATGACAAATTTTAGATTTCAGATTGTCACGGCGATGACTCTTATTGTTGTCCAAGGTTCTACAACACATCCGGAGTAACTGACATCATCCCTGGCATTGACACTTCCTTTATGGGCTTAAAGAAGTTGTATTGACTGCAGAGGATATTTATTGGTGCACTTCAACCAGAAAAGATAGACTTATTTGAAAGTATTTCTCTCGAAAGCATTTGTTCTGGGTAGGCGGTGATCAGAGGTCCTTAGAACGTCCTGACATGTTTCATTTCAGATTGTTCACACAGCAATACTTTTCATCCTCCTCTCTGCGGATTTTACGCTGGGAACGGAGAAACAAGTGAAGTTGGAAGATATTGAGCAAGACAATCTAAAGAGTAAACAGGCACAACCGCACGAAGCCAATCCCAGCGTCGCGGACTACACAGTCCAGCAGCAGCTGAACTACCAGGCCCAGCAGCAGCAAACTAAACAAATTGTTCCGGACTACACAGTACAGCAGCAGCTGAACTACCAGGCTCAGCAGCAGCAAGCGAAACCAATCGTCCTGGACTACACAAGTCAGCAGCTGCAGCAAGCAAAACCAATCGTCCTAGACTACACAAGTCAGCAGCTGCTGAACTACCAGGCCCAGCAGCAGCAAACTAAACCAATTGTTCCGGACTACACAAGCCAGCAGCTACTGAACTACCAGCCCCAGCAGCAGCAGCAACAAGCGAAACCAATTGTTCCGGACTACACAATTCAACAGCAGCTGAACTACCAGGCCCAGCAGCAGCAAGCGAAACCAATCATCCTAGACTACACAAGCAAGCAACAGGAGCAAGGAAAACCAATCATCCCGGACTACACAGGTCAGCAACAACAGATCTCGCTGCAGCCCACGGGTTACCAACATGGACTTCAACCTCAGTTGCAGTTCCAGGCTCCACCATCAGGTAGCCCTGTCGCACTGTACCTGGCAGGCAATGGCCTTGCTGGAAACTACCTTGGCATCACACCAGATGTCGCATATCAGAGCCTATCTCAACAGTTCTACCTTCCTCAAAGCGGCTACTCCGGCTTGCAGTTTGTGCAAGTCCCACATTCTCCCTTCATCTACAACCACCAGCCGGCATCTCCTAAACCACCCCAAGTTGCACATTCTCCCATCCAGAAAGCAATTCCGACTGCAAACCTGCTTTCCTCGCACATCTCCAATGAGGTGCGGCCAGCGTACCAAAGACCTTCAGCAGCGAGCGCTGGTACCAACTTTATTTACACACAACAACAAGCCTATAATCCCATCCCTAAGGAATTACAAAGTTACACCACCATTCCAGACACAGTATACCAGGGAAAGGAGCCTGATACGCTGTACGATCAACAACCGTCAGTTTCTATAACACACGATGGACTGAATCAGTATAACGCACTGTTCCAGCAACCGAAGCCTCAGAGGCCAACGTTCAGTTCGGGTGTGAAGTCAACTGGATTATCCTCAATTAAAACAATTCCAAATGGTGGAAGATTTTTGGCAAATACTCGTAACTTCCCGGGATTTGGCATCAGTTACAGCAACTACAGACAAGGACCCGGGGCATTTTAGGCTTAGTGACGTACAAACACTCGACTCCTTGAAATCATGTAGAGGTTGCCACATTATTCCAATTGTGTCGGATACGAGAAAGCTGTCACAGAACAGATGAATCAAGAATTTGGGACAAAGACGTGAAATCCTCAACCAATAACTTGGTATAACAATGTCAGATGGAATTTTATAGAAGATACAGCGTTCTGTTTTCAAAAAAATTTTTATATTACGTATAATTACATGTATCGAATGTTACATCGTAAAGAACACCCGTTCTTCCACCATGCGAAGCTTTATTCTTACGTATTTAGCCTAAAGACATACATAACAAGCCAAAAAAATCGAAGTTCTATTACGAACTTCTTTTACTCTTATTTAAACGCGTTAAATAAAAAAAGACTTACAAGCTGCGTGCAACATGTTTTATATATACATACATACACATACAAATGAAAAGGTACAGCAGGTTAAGATGCTGAGTTTAAAGTCTTCTGAGGTGCAGAGCCGGGTCATCTGGTAGACAGTGCTTCTAACATCAGGGCGCCCTGGTGATGGAGACAGCAGAGACCTCTGAAACGTTGGTAAGCTTCTACTGGACGATACAGCACTACAACCCAGAAGACAGCCATCTTGGTACTCACCGCCGTGATAACCTCAGATCTTACTGAATTTGAAGTTTACCACTCATCTGGATGCAGCTAAAAGGTTAAGGATACGTGGAGATTTATGTTGAAGTTTTCTTACACTTATTCCAAACGTTTCCAGTTTCGTCACTGACTGTCCATTCTCGCACAATTCCTCCCTTCTTTGGTTTTAATTTATCCTTCCATCCTTTTCTTAATATTCTTAAAACAGAGGGCAGTTGAAAAGGGCATTCAAGAATTACCATTAAGTAGATAAATTTGTTCAAGGCCACCGATTGAGCCAATAATTCCTTTTCCTTCATGATTTATAATTGTCTGTAATATTATTGCTAAAATTAAATACACAATCATCTAAGCCCAACGAAAGCTACAATTATTTCGTGGCCATCTCGTGACATATATTTGAATTACTTGCAACAGAAACCCAGCTTCTAAGGATCGGAGAGATATGATCGTGGCAGATGTATAGAAACGGTACCATCGATCAGTCGATACAATAAAGCGGGAAGGTTAAATTATAGTAACTGTCACCAAATCGTATTATTAATGACACAGCAAAATCATGTAACTGTGGAACAAGGAACAGTGGAGTTCAGGCTACTGAAGACAGTTTAGAACTCGTAGCGAAGCATGTAAAGATGACCTGTTCGCAGATTGAGAGATGACACGGCAGTTATAATCAACTGCTTGCCACTACTACACCTGCGCTGTATAACTCAAGCGAAAGCTGATGTTAAACTAAAATGGCAATAGAATGTTCAAGGCCAACAGTTTCTCCAACATAACCGCTCGCCAACCTCACTCTATGGACAAAATTGGTTACTTGGAGCCTCGTAGTCAGGGTGTGTGAAGTCCTTTCGTGACCTTGAAACATGCAATTTGGTGACAGCTACTATAGATGCACAATTCTTTGGTGATATATATTTATTAATTAATTGTCTCGTTCGACAATAAAATATATTGAGAATAAAACGATCACACTATGTCTCTTTGATACAAGGAAACAAATCTCGCTATAGAGGTTAGTAACAACATGTGTTAACCCCTGCTTTGTAACGAGTAGTGATTCAATTCATAAAAAATTCTGCAAGAGTAGAAATGTTTGAAACACATGGAGTCATAATAACTTGGATGATTTGCAAACAATTTCATTGCCTTAAAATCAATCTTTCAGGTACTTTATATATTTATTATATTATTAGCCCGTCGCAAGGCCTCTATCTATACAGAACGTCACAACACAGAAAGACGCTCCATAATTTATATTCTTTAAATAGAACATGATGAGAGAGGAGGTACGTATTTTAGATATGGGATATATATTATAACTAAGCACAAAATTTTGGCCAGGAAATGTAAGGGAATTTAGTTAGACGTGTCCCGATCGACCAGCGATCAACTTATCGATTATTGTGACAGGTTTACGAAGTTTTTCTCATTCAGTCTGCTCTGCATCTGTCCTTGAAACAGTAACTAACAGTTTTTTTCATATCCCATCACGTTCATTATCAACAGTGGCGATGAATTATCGCTGTGATGATGGTAGCAGAAAACACCTCTGAAACGTCGATACAATTCTACCAAAACTACACGACTCAACATTTCATTGAGACAGCTGTCTTCAAGCTGGCGTAAAAATTTGAAATCTCAACTTAAGATCTAATCAATAATTTAACCCTACACACAAAGTACCAATCCAAATTATATAATTCTGAGAAAATTACTAATTCAAAACAATTCAATATTGGATATTACCTATTACGTATTTCATATATACGACGTTTCGGCCGTTGGCTCCACTAATGCCTTTAGCTAAATTTGTTTCATACAGACAGATTTGTTAACACTTTTATAATTAACTTAATAATAATAGTAATTTTTGGGATCGAACCCAGGACATGTTAAACACTAGACCCAGGAATGGCTATTGTTACGGTTCGACTTTAGATCCATATGCGTAGTAAAGGGAGCCGCGTGAATCTAATATCTAGGCTTGGCTGATAAACTATTCCGTTGTTTCGATAAATATCGATTATTTCAGTTTTGTAGTAAACTTCTTTTCTACATTGTAGATGTTTTCTGCTGATTTATTCTATGGTCCTTGTTCAAGATGTTTATATGCAATTCTTTTATACAGTATTTTCGTGCAAATTCGAAATAAAACACACACATAAGAAAGTAACTTTAAATGTGAAACACAGGACACAAACACAACACGAAAATGGGAGAAATATCCAAGTATAGAAAAAGAACACTCCTGGAATTTGGACCATAAAACATTATTAAATAAAACAAAAATTACTGACAAAGAATAAAGCAGTGTCACTAAAAAATGATTTCGTATTTGTAGGAGCAACAGAACGTAGCATCTGATAAGAAAACAAAGACATAAGCCACATATGGCTTCCTCTAGCAAGTAGCAACACAACCTAATTAATTAAAATAAACAACATTCCTGGACCAACCCACTAGTTTTTAGTGTTTAGCTCACTATTCAAAAGTAGACTCCAACAGTTGCCAGAAAGCTACTCTTAAAATAAAGAAAATTGTCAGTTACCTGAAGATGGGAGTGCAGCAAGTCCCGAAGCGTCGTATATATAAAACATACCTCAATGGAAAAAGTGTAACATATTTTACATATACAAAAGACTAGTGTTGGTTGGTAAGTGATGTTTTTTAAGTTACTATTTGCACTGTGTGTATGATTATAAGCGTTGCTACGTCAATGCTGTCGAGGGATTTTGGGTCTTATGGGATAATATTTATGACCTTAGATTTTTCCGTTGTTTTTGACGGGAAATTTTGTGGTCTTAATGAAATGAATCAACAATCTTCACAAATCTTTAGATAATCAAATTCATTATTGATTAGGTCTGAAATCATTCACGAAACGTCTTCATTTTTATAGAAAAAGGGAAGATATAATTTCCTTGTATGACAGTCAACATTTTGTGTCCCGTTTGAGATTGTGTGTTGTTTTACATTTAAAGTTCTGTCTAACTTATAATTACGGTTCACCAATATTACAATCCACAATGTTAATTCACATTCAGCGGCCAAAAATAATTAATTGCAGCTGTGCGTCATTAAACTCTCGATAACATATAAAATCTTACTGAAGTGAACCGGAGGTGGGTTGCTAGCCACAATTTGTGAACCACACCTTGGACAATGTCATGACTACTTTCTTCTTAATAGAGAAAATATAATTGCTTCCTGATAAATTAAAAAAAAAGAAGCAATTTACTTCTAGCTATTCCTGTATTTCATTTTCGTCTGCGAACGTGTGCGACTTTGCCTTCTGGCGTTCTGTACCCAGTATAATTTATATTCTTGATGTTACAGCTTGCAGTCTGGATTATATTCAGTCCCTCTCTATTTCACTGCTCGTATGAAACAATTTCTATTCTTCTCTCAACATCAGTGAAAGTTTCTTGTAAATGGTTTTCAAATTACCTTTCATTTTTATTGTATTCATGTTGTTTTTATCATATCTGATAATTTCATTATTTGCAACTAATTCACTTCTCAGAATTTTAACTGCACCTTAATACTGGGTAACAATTATCGATTAAAAGGTTAGGAGGTTGGCAGAAATACTTGTGATTTGTTTAAAGAAAGTCTCATCATTTTTCTTGATATATTGATAAAATACACAAGAATTGGTGGCGAGGGCCGTGAATCAAAACTAATACGTTACACACGTAAACTCAGTAATGCTATACTGAGCCGCTACATTAACCAAAAATTATTACTAATTACAATCCGCGTGCCAATATAAGTCCGCTGAGAAGCAGAAAGGGTAAGAGAAGGGTCATCTTACTGCGCAAGCGCACTCAAAGCTTCCTGTTACAGACACGTTGTATTTCAGAAGTGCAGTTCATTGTGCTGGATTGATGGACGCATGTTTTGTGAAATAGTACAGCGTAACTTTTCATGGCCACCCCACTCTCAGGTGACATCTCTTGGCGGGCGGACAGTACAAAGAATTTATGAATGCTTACAAACTATCATTGGTACTATCTCTTCTTAACTGCAGTTATAATAAAATTAAAATTTATTTTATAAGGCTATGTAAGTAAGCTTCCATTTTATCGTAAGAGCACAAAATGGCGATGTCTCATATCATAGTGCTATTCCGACTGAGGACACATGTTATAAGAAGAACTGGAGGACGCTATACAGACAAGAGTTTCAGAACTGTTATTGTTAATTTATTATTATAATAATACGTTTAAGGCTAATCATCGAAATCCGCTTTCTGACGTTCGGAAAAGTTTTTATCAGTTTACAGAATCAATAAATTGCCATGCAACAAAGTCATTCGTTAATTTAAACGGTAGTTTTATTCCTGAAAATCTACGAGTAAGTACAAATTTAAATTTCTACTATAGGGACTCAATACTTTTTCATGGAAGAGACCAAATACCCTGTCATGTCTCCATTTATTCTCTTCAGGGTTTTCTTGGTAGCCCTAATTATCTTTTTCCGGAAGAGGGTGGTATATTCAGTTACAAATTTTGTAATGCTCTTATCTATCAATCTTGTTGTATGTGATACCTTTTATAAGAACTGTCCAAAAAATTTAGAAATGTAAATGAAACGGTTAAAAACATAAAGAAATTACGACGATGTTCCTATGGCTTGTGACTCCGTGTAGACTCGGATCTACGGGACACAGTATGTTTTTGTTTACGACTTATTTATACCAGCCATGACAGTTATCACGTTGAAGAAGCTGAATCAGAAATCACACAACTGTAACTTACATTTCTTTACAAAGAATTTGGTTTCACTACAAACGTGACTTTCCGGTTTTCAGGCGCAGACAGACAAGGATAAAGATTACTAACGAAACGGTCAGTATGGTGACCACTGGGTCATCAAAACTTTCATACAACTAACCATTGACCTTGAACGTGACACATCGCATTTATCATACAGGTTTTCTTAGAGAAGCACAGTTATCCGGAGTGCGACCTCAAGGTCAAGTTACAGAACGCCGAGAGAGAGTGTGTGACATCGGACACGAGCCGGTATTCTCTATCAGATTTTTGGTTTTCGAGTCATTTAACGACGTCTCTAAACTGCGTAAATTATATGAACTACAACTGCAATGACGATGAATGATAAAAAAATGTCGTAGTCTATTTTTATTTATTATACCAGGCGGCAACTGGCTCCAAAGTCTATTAAACAGCGCATTCTTATCTCTGTTTCGGGATTAAAATTAAATTAATATAACTCAAAATACAAGTACTCATCACGATAGCCACCGACAGCCTTCAAACAACTATTGTGTATTGCCTCAAAACCTATTAATTAGAATCAGGATATTCTGTGAAAAGTTGATTGTATATGCGGCTTGTCAAAGAAAATCCCATTTTCTTTATAGAACCGGAATGTTCATGTATTTTCTTAGAATTCATAATGTCGGTAACAATAGTGGAGCATACAAACGCCAACAGACATAACACAGTCGACAGTAATAGTGCTGAGAAATATGATACGAGTGACAAAATTCTACTGTCATTTTCTCATTCTAAATACGTATTTTTTCACGATATTTATCAATTTTTTTTATGGAGGGTTAGTTTAATGTTAGCGCTTAATCGCTCACGTTTGAACACAGAGTAGACTGTAACAAATGTAATGGTGGTCTTGGATTTGATTGATTCTAAGTTTAATCTCCGTTTAATCTTTCTATCAATGATTAAACCGAGATACAAATGGGATGTTCCATCCATACAGAGTAAGATGAATTTCGACTGGTATAACGTCCTATTCATGTCGTACAGAATGCGTACCGCGTCACTTCGCTTTTAGAATTAATTGCCTTTCTTAGCGGACCTTTCACCGTCTAATAAATATTTCACGTTACATATTAATTGTTCTCGAATGCTGGGAAGTGCCTTTCTTGCGTTACAATGTCAGTCATATGGGAGAGAGGTAAATTATACATCGTTCTGAATAGAAAGCTGACAGTGAATCCGAGATATATCGGGGATGATTACATCTTCAGAATGCACACGTCATGGTCATACAAGATGGAAGAAAAAGGAAACAGTTGAGTGTCGCTATATAACGGAACATGCGCAGAGGAACACATCAGTATCCCTGTGACTCATTGAAGAAGCAACGGGAAATGGGATCTTTTGTCACAACTATGAAGATTCTGGTAAGTTGAATAAAATCACTGAACAGCTTCCTTTAGATTAACCATATGCATATTGTGAGTCAGTAAGTATATGCATTTGCAACACAAGCCCGCATTTATTAACCTTGTTCAGCACAAATATATTTTTATAAAAACTGAATGTACAATCCATATATTTTACCAGTCTCTCGTCAATCCTGGACTCATGTTATTTGACTACCGGTTTCTGGTTTAGTTGTGACCACAACAAAACCACTAAACCCTAAAGCGACGAAAATGGTCATATCAGCAGTAAAGAAAGAACTACAACAACATGAGTCCATATTATGTTGGTTCTTGTTAAAACAACATGAGTCCAAAAATAACTTTAGCTTATAAATCTTGATGCAAAAGAAGTTAATGACCTGCAGGTTTTTTAAAAGTAGGAAAGTGTCGAACATTCTTGGGGGAAAACAAATCAAGCTTAAAATAAATAGCAAGTTCTTTTATAATTTTCTTGAAAGTGAGTTTTGTGGAATCATGTGGTTTTTCAAACGGCCGATTCAATTATGAGTAAATAAACAGGCAACACAAAAGTTTGATACGGAAAGAGAACAGAAATGATGTTGAAGTTAAAGAAGACTATCGGGTTAAAATAAAATAAATAGGTTTTTAGGTTTGGAAATCATTAGACTTCCTGATAATACGGACACGAAAAGAACGTCAAAGTGTATTATGAAGAATGTCAAAACTTCGGCAAATATTGAGCTAGATCATTACGAGTTAAAGAAGGATAAATCATGTCTTAACTGAAATTACTTAACATTGTTAGACCACAAGTATCAGGCTAAATTGCAATGGATTTAGAATCCGAACAAAATGAGTAGAGAAATTCTGGACAATATAAGATTGGATACTGGTAAGTTTCATGGTAAAAAAGATGAAATGCCTGAGAGAAGAACTCAATAAACTTTAAAAATGAATAAGAGCAAAAATACCACGGACTCAATGTAATTTAAGAAATACTACCAAATTAGTAGCTATTGACTTGGTAAAAGAGGTTAATAAATTGAAGATTTCACTGCGACTGAAGGTGATGAAAGACTCTCGGGCTACAGAGGACCAGATTGTTACGCAGCTACCCTGAGGATGAGAGCAGAGACGGCTCTCGAAACGTTGGCACAGGATATGGTGTATTCGCCATTCAGCAACCTGACGCGGCTTGTAGCCCGAGAGTCTTTCATAAAAAGAGGTTTAAGTCAATCTAATTGTAAATTCCTATTATATTTTGAACAGATAGACACATATACAAAGTCAGACCATTACCAAATTTAAACTAGTTCCTTTTCAAATATAAAAAATCTGAAAGAGTACAGATCACGAGATTGATTCGAGAGAAAGGTAGATGTAATGTAGAGTATTCATTTACTGTGACTGATTAAATAAATATCAAAACTATGGATGTAGTGTATTATTGTACCTATTTGTAGAAAAGTGTAACAAAATTGGTTATAGTAATTGTCAAGAAATAGATTTTAAGCTACAATAAATTTCACACAAAATGTTATTCTTTTATCAGCGTAACTCCGCACACAGACAAAATTATTATGTATCATCTGTGTCGACCAACCACTGATCATCTATTCTGTATTTATCAAATAATTGAGAAGAAATGGGAATAAAAATCTGACAACAGCAGCTTTTTATGGATTTCAGGAAAGCCTTTGACACATTTAAAAGGAAAATATTTTACAATTTAACCCGTGAATCTGACACTCCCACTAAATTAATAAGAAAAAATTAAAATATATTTAAACAAAACTTATAGTCAAGTTCGTATACACGAACTTTCAGATTCCTGTTTAGAATGGTGTTAAACAAGGTGTTGCTTTGTCACCACTACTGTTTAAATTATTTTTGAATACACAACAATAAATGTATAAAGTCTGAGGAGAATTAAATTGAACGAAGCAAATAATCTTCTGGTTTACGCTGACGGTGATAATTTTTGTCAGAAAAAACAAAAATTTCGTAAAGAAATCAATCTTGTTACGAACGCAGAGCAAAGTCACAATATACAGAAAACTAAGAAATGCCCAATCCATTTGACGTCACATACAGCGCCTCAAGGTGTTAAAGAACCGGTCGGAAATCAGAAGATGCCGCAGGGGTTCGACCACAGAAAGCAGCAGTCCTACCTTCGTAGCTTTCACGAGAGTAATTTACTACTTGATTGTGTTGAGGTTTCAGGGGCATCAATACAGAGTAAAATGTAAAGTTACGGTGAAAGGAATTCTTTTCGAGAAAGTCACACAGCCATCTTGCTGTGACCTCCTGCTGCTGCTGCTGCTATATTACATTTACTGTCACTATTTTGCTGCATTATCTTCACTCGGTTCTTACAAAAGGAAACACATTCTGGGCTCTTTCTCCAGACCACTTGAGTACTTCCGTTTGAACACGGTAGGTGTCTGCAGAAATACATTCACTTAAGAGCCAGTCCATTTTAATCTGGGTCCGATATCACCACTACATGACGCGTTTTAAGGTTACAGATTGTCAGAAGATCTCCAGATATGTGGGGTAGCTGCAAATATACTTAATGAACAGTAGTGGAAAGCCGACGAGGGGTGGTTATCAGCATGGAGATTGGAAGAGGGGTTAGTGAAGTTTCACATATAAGAAACCGGTGTTTTAAGAATTGTTAGACGGCGCCTCGGACTTCAGGCGGTAAACACTGTAATCAACTTTCTAGTTCCATAAAGGACAGGGGATGTCTTGACTAGGGCGATGGAGGCAGCAAGGACATTTGAACCGTCGGTAGATTTCTACCAGACTACACGGCTCATCAACCCACAAGACAGCCATCTTCAAACTTAGGTCATTTTTCCACAGTTTTGACATTTCAAAAATCTCTTCCTGGCTCCAAGGAAAAAGATTGACGAGTTTGGTGAAAATCAATAAATCGGTTTATCCGTTCTCAAGCTATAAGTGAACATACACACACCGATAATTTCAATTTTATATAAAGGTTAGAATCTATATTCAGATATTTCCAAAATTACAATACGCACTACTACTACTACATACAAGCTAGTGCTGACAATAAAATTCGATGACGTATTTAGGCTTTCAAGCAAGAAACGAATTCTTATTTAATTAGGCTAAGATATACGACCCTCTGGGCAGAAGCCTAACATCAGCCCATGACCTAAATTGCGCTGCGTTGCTTGGCCACAGAATTAAATTATATAGGGTAAATAAGATATAATAACACAAGATTTGTAGGATGTAATAATAAAACATGAGTTTTACTCAAAATGTATGTATGATTACGTAAGTTAATTAATCAATTTCGAAATCTATTTTTAAAACTTATTTATGCGTGCACTTTATAATTTTATTTATGTGAAATGTATTGCAGCTCAATTATAATTTCAAACGCCCACTTTACCCAGCGTGTAGTCAGACATTTTAAATTAGTTTTAACTGTCGAACAATCACTTAAAATTTAGACTGGAGTCTCCGATTTACGAATCTATAACAAACAGTCTTAGTCGAACCAGAGTTTTGATTTACTTTCTTGCAGCGGATGTCCCTTACAATTAATTAAATGTAAAACAAACTTTAAAATTATTCGCATAGAGGCCATGTTTTGGTTCTGAAGTTCACTTTCTACCTGACCATCTCCGGTTAAGTAGTGCGAAGGATGTGTGATCTTAAGCTACAGTACCTTGAGGACGAGGACGGTGTTTTACTCATTAACCCACCTTACACGGCTGGTAGCCCGAGAATAATTCATTACAGTGTAAAGGTTCATTCGAGAGACTCTTTGGTAACAGAAAAATTCTTGCTCCTGTTGGAAATCGAAATTTATTTGTGATGCTGCCCGTAGCCAGTAATTTTAATAGGTTTTCAAAACCCATCAACGACAACAATAAATATGGACAATTATTTAACCTGCAATCATTATACGTGTTTCAGATTCTGCTGTGTCTGTTCGTTATATCCAGTTGTTCAACTACGCCCAAACCCAACAGCCTGATTTCAACACAAACGACAACCACTGAAGAAACTTCTACAGACTCAGAACTTATAAATATTAAACACGATCAAAAGACAGCTGACATTACAGATGGCGACATTGTTACGATAGATGAAGATGAGATCGAGTCTAGTAAACGTAAGAGAACGATCGATCAAAACTTGGGTTACGGTTACAACGACATTGCAGGTAGAACGAGACAAACCGACCAATCGATTCAGAATTTCGGTACGTATTTCCCACAAAACTCACAGCAGCCAACTCACCAGCCAGTTCGCTATTATTCACCCGGCAGTGCTACCAACCGGCTTCAGCAGCACGTGGACAACGGCCATCGACCCGCGTCAAGCTTCAACAACCACGCGAACACTCAAGAATCTGAGTACCTCGCTAAGTCCCCTACTTACCGTGGACCCGCTGCCGTGTCCGGATCCTTACCTACCAAAGGTGCGCCTGTCTTCTCAACCCCTCGTTCACCCCATCCATTTTATCTTTTCCCAGGGTCACCACCACAAGCCCCAGCGTTCTTCACTGGACATTCTCTGACATCACCACATAACCCTTTCGCTGATGTCACATCCCACAACACGCAGAATCCTTTCTTACCAGTTGGAAACTTCCATGGGGGTCCACTGCTATATCAGCATCCTGGTAGTAGCGGAGTGGCATTTTTGCAAAATCCTTCAGGATATTTTGGTCCACAAATTGTGCCAGTGATAATCCTCCGCGTAACAAATGACGCAAATGGTAACAACGCCTTCCATCATCAGAGCGCTGTTTCTCCTTCTCTTATTCAGACAGGTATGCATGGTCTCAACCTACAAACACTGCTATATCCTGTTCAACAGTTCCATACGCCACAACAGAATGTGTTTCCTCGATATTATGCCACACATAATGACCCTGCCTCCCAGCAGTTAGTCCAGAATGGCTATCAAAGCGGCGAGACTCCAAAAACACACTACGTCCAACCCCCTGCAACAACAGCGACTCAGATCCCACAACAGAAAATCTCTTACGTGCAACAGAATACGCCTTTGACACCAACACCGTCCCCAGATTCGACACAGAAACTTAGGAAGACTGATGTCAACGAGACAGGGCCGCTGAATGAGTATAAATATGAGTACAAAGACAAAGTTTGAATTCAGCATCACGCCGTCTACATGATAGACATAAATATTTCAATGCAATGTTAAAAGCTTAGAAGATTTTTCTGAGAAAATTTGTTCATAGCAGAACTTAAATCACGCTGAAAGCCTCCAGCTACCTTCGTTTGAAGAAGGAAGACTTCAGAATATTCCATATATTGTGTATTCGAATGATCGATTGAAGTCTTTGTCGACAGGATGTAACTTTTTAATTGTGTGTGTATCTATTGGCACTTTGCCATCGTCTCAAGTAACCTTCTGGAGCTTGTAAAGAAGAAGACGATTTGCGCAGTGTGTTCAAATCGCAGACTAAAGCAGATGCGGCAACTGTCATGTTCTGTTCCATAATTTTATCACGATCTAGAACGGTAACAAAGGGCCAGTAGAACCAGAACAGAACTAGGAATTGTTGCAACATGCAATAATACTTGATTTAAACTTTCCTGTACAGTTTATTTTTGCTATAAGTAGCGTATGAACACTGTTCTGAAGTTAAATAAGTTTCAACAATTCATACATTCCAATAATTCACACCAGGACAATTTCTAAAATAAATTTATTTTCCAGAAGAAACAAGGGTTTAATTGTAATGGCCAAGTGAAATACAATTATAACAATGGTTTCTATTGCTATGTAAATCCGATTCATTTTTAACAGATCTACAGTAAAGCTGTTGCCAATTACGAAATACGAACAAAGCAAACCGCGTGGCGTGAAGGTAATTCAGAGCAGTTTCTTGTTATCTGCCATCTAATTTTAACTGTGTATGATCACGGTGGTGTTTTGCGTCTACGAGAGCATTCTTCGTTAGGCTGGGTTTATATCCAGGTTAGTATAGTCTCGTTAAAGATGTACCGTCTGTAACTAACCCCACCAAACCAGGCCAAACCGGTAGATCCAAACAGCATTGTTACTTTTCTGTTAGTATTAAATTAAGAAATCTTAAATTAATGTTGACGACATAAAAGTGCCTAAAAGCTTTGCTTATCAAGGGTTCACGTTTTGTATGGGATCAAAAATCCAATAAAGAAATCGTCAAAATTTTTCACAAATATAATTTCGAGCAATATTCAATGTCAGCTAACATGGTTTGTTTTGATCTGTACCAACTCTTATACTTTAAAACAAAAGATCAATTAATAGAATCAAAATAAAGACTAACCAAGCAACATTAGTATAAAATGTCTCCAAGTCACCAAACGTTAAAAATTTGACTAACATTGAACATCCAATGGATAAAAGATACAAATATCCATGAAAAGTTTTACTTGAAACCAAATAAATAAACACTACAAAAGAACAGAATAAGAAATTCGTCAGAAGACGGTAACTGCATGTTTCAATGCGACAGCAGAATATCGTAGTCTATTTTACATGCCATTCTAAAACCGAGAAGTAAAAGGACTTTTTATTACAACAATGTAACAATGTAGATGATAAGCAGTTTTAATTTCAATAAAATGTTTGTTATTGTTCTTGTATGAATAGGTCTATTTCCAATCCTTTCTATGTGAATGTCCTCCATGCATGTACATGAAACAATAATACGAAGGACCGATATGCTTCATGATAAAGGAATTTTATAACACACGTGCAATTAGAGAGGTTATGTATGAACCAAAGCAAACAATCTGCACTGAATACCTTATAGCCAACATGCCGTTCTGTCTGCATGCATCGAACAACAAAAACATTTTTCTAAACTTTTCATAGGAAGTCTACGTATAGTTCAGAAAATGCCACAGTTACAAATCAAGAGATTACATTAAAACCTAGAAGTATAGTCTTAACGAACAGACAAACATGGCGCCTGCTTATAATATCAGTGAATTTCTCACTCTGTGGAAAAAAATAAACAAATATTGTCGTGACACATAAAGTCACAGGTGTAAAACTTATGCTAAAATCCTTTCACTGGAAATTCTTTCTTCTATAATGAGTATGACATTGCTAAATTCATCAATTTAACTAATGTAATTTATGAATTTGCAGCTGTTAAAGGAAGAATATTTACTCGGTAAATATACAATTGTATGTGAAAAACGTTGTTTTATTTTGAGTTATACCTCTATAACGTAAAATTCAATTTTTAAGTCTAGAGTAATAGCTGTTTTTCACTGCGGGCGTAACATTCAAACCTTTGCCTAGGACGGACAAATGCTTAACTCCGCCTCAGCGTAGAATGAATCCTAAAAGTCTGTTTCTTAATGTGCATTCTTCTGAAAAATATTAATATTTAAATGACAAAAAACAGACCATAATTATAAGGGTTGTGACATATCTTCTATATAAGCAGATGTCATCTTCCCGTCAGTGTTTTAATGTTCATATATAACTTATTCTCATACGCAAAAGCTCAGAGAACTCCTAAAACCATTCTATTATGAAATACACATTTATTTAGCAAATGAAGTCTGATACTTAATTAATATACGCTGCTGAAACGATTTCCTTATGGCTTTCCCGATTCAAGCGGCCATTAATTTAATTATTAATTCACACCCCCTTTGTAATAATCCAGATATACTTCAGCCGAGGTCAATCTGTGCGCTCGTTATCCGTTAAAGAAAAGTTCAGTGCCGTCTGACGGGGTGGGAGGGGTAGCAGATAAGGAATCATATACTGTCCATACTACAAACATTATTTCCAATCTGCAATACTTTCTAGCTCGCTGTCTAATTTCCTTTCAAGGTAATGTTTTTGGTTTACATAGTATAGGCTTTTGTTTTTCTTCTGTAATTCACGACTTTACTCTTGAGACATGCAAGTTACGCGGGAAGTTGAAAGCCGAATAGGTGCTGCAGACAGCATACGTAAATCATCAATTACTACCTAAGCAAAAACATTTACTCTACAATGGCACTACACAAGCATAAAATAGTGGCTAATATTTTCTGAACTGACGCTATGCTACTACACAACATACGTCGTCCCTCCGTGCTTCCTGAGCCAAGTTTCAAGATTACAGTGGCGAACAGAAACTGCTAGCTAGTGACGTAGGCAAAACGCACAGATTTACCCCAACTACAGTATACAGCATCCTGTATTGACACACATCCTATTTTTTAAGAACAGCTAAATTAAGGCGCAGAATAAGTTCAACTAATTTTTAAACCGGCCTAAAATATGGGATATATAGAGAACTACAGAACTTCACTACATAGAATTAAGAGCTTCTCAAGTTGATACCCTTTTTATGCACTAAATTTGTAAATTCTGCAACCATAATGGTTAACAGCAAATGACACCGGAAATCATCTATCGCGATAAACTTTTCGTAGTTTTGCTCGGCCCCTCCAGACAAACTGTCATGACCACTTCCTCTGGAATCATCAACAAATAAACCAACAAAGAGAATATAAGAGTGAAGCTCTGAGGCGCAACACAACCATAACCTATCAAATTCCTATTCTTTAAGTACTAAGATTTAGCCTTGACATATTTCCTCAGTTCTTCATAGAAAATGTACCCATAAAGTTGATATATATTCACACATCACGAGTATGCCATTACACAAGAGAGAAACTCGGTAGACCAGGGCGAAGAAGGAATTATGTTATGAACGCAGATCGTAAACAGACCCACATGGACGTGAAAGAGATCAACTGGTCCAGAGAAGAAGTCGACATGGATCATGAATATTTGAGTTGTGGATATTTCTGAATCATATTTCTAACCCTCTAAATTAGCCGAAACTCGTCAAAATAACATTTAGATATCGAGTCCTTACCGCATAGAAAAGACCACATTTTGGCACTACAAAAGTCAGTAATAAACCTTGATCGGATACGGTAATACTTCTGGATCACCTCCAGACACAACTGTGTTGTCTACTATTTCATCTCTGACCGATGCAAACATCAAAAGCATCACTTCAAACAATAAAGTTGATCCATTATATGAAAATATCTGGACACGACCTCCAAAAAACTACACTACGAAAAATTGTAAAAATTGTAATTGAGTTTTAAATTTAATATAATTTTACACCTGATGATGGTTTAATAAAACCGAAACATGTTATAACTGCTCCAATTGTAAATCGATATGGAACACAGAATTATATTTTAATTATTTTAATTATCTTATTTTAAATACATTGTGATTTGACGGAATAACCAAATAATTTAATTTTAATTTAATAAGTCACAATATGACGCAACTACACTATCTTATAAAAGTCAATTGGTTAACGCTTTTTATTATGAGAGTCATACGAACCCTTAAATGCAAAATGCACAGTTGCTGATTTTTAAAGAAGTTGGTACATAAAGTTTCCACATAAATTTACAGGATTAAAGTTCAATTAGCACGGGAAGATATTCTTTTACTTTTTCCATCATGTTCTTTTATATCTTCCCTTATTTATCTTTCTACCTTATTCTTCTTTCCTTCTTTGTTTCGGTTTGCCTGTTTCTTACTTAGTTAATGTAAAATTTAAGAGCTCTTAGACCTGAGACGCCTCTCATCCACGGTCCATGTCTTTAGTCGGCGTAATGTAACGTATGGGATTTGTGGAGCGTGGTATATGCGAGAAAGCATTTCTTTCTTTCCTTTTTCTTCTTCTTCAAAGGGTCGTGTCGGCAATGACGGTTGCGTATATAAAGCAATTTGCACACGCACGATGCCCCATTGTAAACAGTGATTCAGGGATGCCAACAACGCTCTCGTAGTGTGATAAAGTGCAACATGAAGCTACTTGTAAGTATCCAAAATTTGTGCTTCAAAGTGTAAACACAAAGTGCAATTAGCGCAAACTTAAAATACTCAAGATATTTATTAATTTACTTGATATTCGTGACCATTGAACAGTGAAAATGCGTATTACCTTTACACATGATTACGAAATACGTTGTATGTTATTCTGTATTTTGCGTTTGACTTGGTGTTTATTCACTTTGTACACAAATTTTGCTGCATTAATAAAAAAAAAAATCTCAGGCAAACGGTATAAAAAGTGCAATGCTTAGAGACATATTTTGTATACATTTTGATTTTTTTAAGTATACGGTGTATCAAGAAGTGCGTCATAATAATTATAAGTATTAGCGTAAATGTCATTTAGCCATTGTATTTCTAATGATTTTTCCACAAAAAATTATAAGGACTAGTTCCATTTAAGTTTATATAAAATAGAACATAATAATGGGCCCATACAAACCAACCGCAAATTATAATGCAAATCCGAAATACACACAGTAACAATGGATATGAAAAATTCTGAAGGTGAGCCATGACCTCTGTCATTCATTAATTTTGTTCTCCATGCAAGAAATAGTTCGCCTCAATATAAAAAAATATACGAGACAATTAATAATGTGTATATGTGTGTAAGGTCTTAATGTATTTCAGTGATTCAAATAAAGGTTTATTTAATTCGTTTTGTTAAATGCCACCCACATTAAACTAAACTAAAACAATTTTTTTAACATAGTTCTCAACGTATAAAAATTAACAAGAATGTGGATCAGTTAATTTCAGTGCTGTTTTTATTTGCCAATTAGCTTGTAAACTGTAATTAATACTTGATAAATATCGTCATAGGATCGTTACGTTACATACTGTTATTTCATGCAGCCGTGAAGTTGTTTGTAAGGGATATACAAAACATGCAAAATATACAGTGAATAAAGTGTAATTAAAAAACATCAAATGCACAATGACGGTAGACGCAAACATACTATGTGGTGCAACATTGGAGGTCAATAGAAATGTGTCTTCTGCGCTAGTGGTTTGAAGATTTCAGGAGCATGTTCTGGATGACAGACCTATACAAAACTTTATTATACAATATTTGAAATGTGCTTCCTGTAATATAATTTGTAATTGAAATCAAATCTTGTCAGTTGAATGTTTCAAGTTCCTCCCTACAAGTGAAATCAATTTAATTTCGCCTCCACTGACATATGGTTGACAAGAAAATTGACGTCTGCAAATGTTATTCCTCCCGGACATAAAATACGTGTAATAGGAAAAGCAAATTATCCATTTATTATCTTCTTATTGACATATTTCGACAGCAATAATCTATTCATATATAGGGAATTAAACTTGATGTGTGCGACATCATTTAAACTAGATGCTATTAAATCTTGTGATAAAGTATGCGTATGACCTTCAGAGACTCAAGAAAAATCACGAAAAACGCAATCAGTACAGCTAGTCTCCGGGACCTGCAAAATACGAAGCAAGAGTGATAACCACTCGGCTAAGACATCTGATATAACCTCATTAAACAGTTTAAAATGAAGCGTGTGAAATGGAGTAAATGTCACAAACTTCCCCAAAATTGGTGTAATTGTGTGTTATTATCAGACTTAACATCGCCCGCTACTGAACAATCGATGTCTGTAAAACACCAAATGAGATAATATACGTAGTTAAACAGTGTGTGTTCATGTGAATGTGCATGACTGGATGCGCTGAAGATATGGACCCATTCTTTTCTAACGCCATCTTCGGTCAGCAATTCGGATGTCCGCAATACTCAGCGACTGTGAACGCACGCCATTTGGCAGTTGTATGCAATTCTCTTTCTGAAGTATCTTATCTTATGAACAAACTAATTAACTAAACTGTTTCAAAGACTATCTTTCTAACTAAATTATTTCTCCTGTCTTACAACCTACTGAACTGATTATACAGACAGACAGGACAATTACCAACAAACCAAACTAATAACCGAAAACTAATTTTTGGTTATAATATCTATCATTAACAATCTGACACTATGAGAAAGTATCCAACTGACTCAATTACACGGATGACAAACTACTCAGTTGATTCGGAATTGACATTCTCACGGCAGCGAGTGTGAAACCGGAGGAAACAAGGACCTCTGAAACGTCGGTAAACTTCTACCAGACTACACTGCGCTACAACCCAGAAGACAGCCATCTTCATGCCTGACTGATTATTACAGCGCTTGCCTGCCGAATAACCTAAATTGTTACACGACCCATCTGGCCGGCAAACAAACTACCTGGCAAACAAACTAATTACCTTAATGACAAGCTACCTAACTGACTGAACTCCACGGCTAACAAATTACCCGCAGATTTATTATCTGTCTGACAAACTATTCTATTATTCAAATTACCCGCCTGTAGTTTAAATTAACTACAAGACTAACAAACTAAACTATTAGTTATCTTATAAACAAATTATCGAAAAAACAACTATTTCTCATGTTACCTAAATGATTAACTTTACTAAAATGTAATTTATGATTAAAGTAAAGTGTCTAAATATTTCATAATGCGATTAAATCAACTATTGAACTACGTACCAATTTACTTACAAATAATTACGTTGCTGAATGACTAAATTATGTACCTGCCCACCTCTTTACTAAATCACTGACAATAAACTCAGCTACAGGAATCCTTAAGCAGTTAACAGTTATTCAGTAGACCAAGACATCTACTTCTTTATACATTACGAATGTTCATCATCGTGTTATCAAAATTCCATCCTCGAGCCAGTTCAATAGGGACCAAAATTTTATATCCGATCTCTTTTCAAGGTACATCATAATTATACCATGATCTTCAACTACATATATTTATCCTGATATATATCGAGCAAAATTTTATACTCTTTTCTCATTTAAATAATTTATTTCAAAGGAAATCTTTTATAAATACTCCGTAAGAAATTTACAATGAGGAGTTCATGCCTCGATATCTACCCACATGTTTCCGAACCAAAAATATTTATCAAAAAACAATTAATTATGATACGTGGGGTTAAAGTAAATGTTGGTGAGTAGAGATTATAGTCAACAAAAAATAATCCATCCTTCTTTTGTAGTTTTGCGACTGCCTGTTTCGGCAGCAAAGTTCCATTCACAGAGACAGAAATATATATATATATATATATACATATGTCACTTTACTTTCCCGCAATTATTAACCGAAATACAGAATGGTCGATAAGTCACAAAATCCACATAAAATTGTATATTGGTCGCCCTCGATGTTCTTACTTTTTTGCCAGAATGAGTTTAGTGATACCAGTATATTTCTCGATTCTCCTGTGCCAAATAAATCGATAATATCTCGTCCGGCGAATCATTTCCATGACAAAGGTACTCATCTCTGAGTTACAACAAACACGAAAGATTAAATACATGTATTGCTGACGTAGTGGACATTTACAACGCTTAATGTAACATTGTTTTTTGCTTTACGATTTAAATGTAACTTATTTTTTTACAAATACATGTGCCAGGAAGGGGGTGCGTGACTTTTCGATCATTCTGAATCTACCAACATTAAAACTATTTGTGAATTTACTTTTTCAAATCTTTGTTAGCGGGATCACGAATGGAATCCACCAAGAAATATTAAAACACAAACAAATCAGTAAAAACATTTGAATGTATTCTTTAGAATGCACAATATCTCTATTGTTAAAACTATCAAAATAGATGTTCGCAATAAATTTATATCTATACCATTCAATTGTAATAAATGTGTCGCGCCATATCTTGACAAAATTTGATCAAAGAATACATAGACGCTATCATTCATTGAATATTGTGTGTTCTCTTTAAGGTGCTGGTTTTTACTATTGCCACCAATGTCCTTGAGTCGCAGACTATCATCGTGTTGGACAACACAAAACAATTGCCGTTGAAGAACATCCCACAAGAAGAACCGACTGTAGCGGAAAGCAATCATGAAGATGTGAAGATCCAGGGTTTCAGAAGTTCCGTCGTACACAAACCCGGGACATCAGACGGTCAAACGGGAGGACTCACAGTGCAGGATCCGCCAAAAGGCTGGCCCTTCAGTGAAATTAATGTGAATTTCAACTCTCACATGTCAGAAAACGAACCCAAAGTTCATCCAGAAATTACTACTTATGGACCAGATAAAAGCAGGATTAGACAAAAACATCAACCACGTCTAAAACACCAGAACACAAACCAAAACCTTATTCGGCAACACGATTTGCATCATGTTCGAGACTTAATCTATTCAGAGCGACAAAACCTACATCAGCATCACGAACAAACATATGCACCTGTCACCATCAGCAACGGATTCAGTCAAACATCAAATTCAAATGAATTAAAACAAACACCGCCTTACATAATCACCGCAAATGGACACCAGCAATCCGGCCTTGTTCCCGAAAACAGCCATCAGAATTCCAGAAAAGAACCCACAGAAATTATCCCGAAGATAATACATCCGAAAACAGAATTACAGACAGGGCATAACTTCGGTATCTTAACGCCTCCAAACATAATTGGCAATAACAACGTCATTAAACACGACTTCTCAGCTTCAGGTGGTAATGATAACAAGTTGCTCATCAATCAACAACAACAAGACCATAACCCGGAAATCCAAATTCAGTCAACCACTGCACACAACATGGCTCCAAACAACGGTGATCCTAACTACGTCTGGCGCGACATCAGTCCAGGTCTGGAAGTCTCCAGCAATGCCCCTCAGGCCGCTGGAGGGTTACACAGAAATTCTGTTGCAGCACGAAAACCTGAAACAACGTCCGGCCATTTCGATAACAGTAAAGTCGGTGGCCAAAGCCACATAGCATATTTTCAAGTTCCTAATTTTGACCATGCCAATGCTCTGGGACACAGTACCAACTTCGGTTACAGAGACGCCGTATTGTACACTCCTACACAGTTTCACGCAAATCAAGAACAATTGTTGACTATTCCCCAAGGTCATTCAGCTGGTGTGCTTGAACAGGAGAATCAGTACCAAAATAGCAGGCATCAACTTCAAAACTCAGTGTCAGTGAATGAAAATACCGGTGATGTATTCACAGGGACAAATAACAGTCCAGGTTTTACTGGGCACAAACAGGATATTTCTGGTGGCCAACATCACCAACAGCATCCTGAGATTCAATCAACATTACAACAAACTAATTATGGATTTGATGTTTCCAGTCATAAAGTTCCTCTAACACTCAACAAAGGACTTCAAAGAATTTCAGGGCCTCTGGTACTCGGAAATGGATTACATCTTGGTTATGCAACAAGAAACACTGGACATCACAACATCATTCTTCCTATGCAAGACATAGTGAACGCTGGTAACAATGGAATTCCATTACAGGCTTACTACGTGCCTCTGGTAGGTCTTCAAAGCGGTCAAGTAGAGAATCACCAAACTCAAGCGGGAATCGTTGGAAGTCAGCACGCGGAAGACGTTCAACGGAAACATCCACAATTTGTCGACTCGCATATGGCCAAAAGTTTCATCAACACAGCACCTCTGATTTACGTAGGAATGCCTATGGGAAATGGATATACAGGGTTCAGAGGACTGCCTTTAATCCAGGGAAATTTGCTTGGGATTCAAGGATTGCACGGTGTGGTAGGAGGATCTCATCATGTTGGAGGAATGTTTCCTGGAGGTAATTATATTTCCTTACCTGACGGAGGACTAGCATTCAATAATCAAAATCACCCTGAGCATAAAACCTACAAACCAACTCAAGAATCTACAATGCAAGCCACTGGCCAGCACCATAATACTTTTCAAACACAGTCAAACCAATATGTTCCCATGTCAACAGGGAATAATATAATTAGCTTCGAAAACACTGTCCCATATCAGCACCAGCAAGCGAACAACCAAATCAATCAGGCAGTGAGACCACAAATAAATGTCCATCCAAATGGTTTTGCACTCAAAATTCAGCAGCAACATCCAATTTCACAACATAACTTTAATTCTGGAGGATATAAGAAGTCGCCTTTCGGAGGGAATCGTATTCAACAGCAACCATCAAATTTTCCTGCACACGACTTTGTTCTTGGTGAACCAAAAATTGTAACCCGAGGCCATCAAGCGTTTTCCCTCCCTCCAATCTCGACTGCCAACGGTCAGCATTCCGGATTCAAATTGAACCTTCCTCCAGCAACTCCCCTTAAATATCCTCCCTTAAATATTCCGCAAGAGACACCACAGTCACACTTAACAGTGAAGAGGGATGAAAATATAAGTAAGCAGCCAGCTGCAACCAATATAGAGACACAGCTCAGGGACAAGAATGCGCACGGGTGGCATCTCGCTTCGAAGCCAGGGAAACCCACAGGTTTATTAAGTAATTCTCTCTTCCCCATAAATATGCCTCATGTTATAGGTCTGAGACCTCCAACCCCAAACACAAATCCTAGTTTCATAAAATAATATTTTTTTTCAGTATAGACAACATTGGCCATTAAAAATTTATGATGACCTTAAAAAATACTGGATTGCTTACAGAAATGTTATCAAGTTCGTGCGAAATACAAATATTTCTGTGTAGGATTTGAGGTTTTCACGGTGGTGAGACTGAAGATGGCTGTCTTCTGGGTTGTCGCGCCGTGTAGTCTGGTATAAGTTTACCGACGTTTCAGAGGTCATTGCTGCCTCATCGCCTTGATGATGGAGGTTAGCAAGGACATCTGAAATGCCGGTAAACTTGTACCAGACTATACGGCGCAACAACTCAGTAGACAGCCATCTTCACAAATATTTCTCATGAAATATTTTTCATTTGTTCTTATCTTCAAAGTTCAGTGTGGCCTTCCGTGATACATTGTCAGCCATTGAGATATTGTCTGGATAAAATGTTTATGGTGCATTGTTTTTACCAGACAACTCAGACCATTTTGAGTGCAATGCTACAAACGAAAACAAGGATCTGGTTTGATGCGCACCAAAGAAACGATATTACACTTAACGCGAAGGAATGCATCACTCTTTTGTCCTGAATGATCAACATGCCTCAAAGAGAAAAAGTACGTTTAATATAAAGTTACAGTAACCTGGTTTCTCTCGACCGTAAGCAGCGGAACGCAATTAGTGAGACATTGCGCCAACGTTGTACATCATGATACGAACGAGTATCCTTCATTGTAATTACGTAGTGCAACGTGCATACAATTTTACATCTAGTAGTTTAATAGGTTTATAAATGGATGTCATTTAAACAGGTTTACACATAAAAAAACTAACTTCGGTTCTAATTTAAAGCCAAAGAAATTCATGTTTTTGACACCTCAAAAAGATCTAAATTAAAATACGTCTGTTGGCAAAGTTAAATGCAACTGTAACTTCCTGGCTCCTCCCAGAATCTGCATGACTTACCGCCAAGTAGTAATACAATATATTCCCTATGAGTCAAATCCGCTCCAAAAAAATTAAAACAACTTACCGTTTTTGAGAGGTGCTGAAAATACCGCGTCTGTAAACTCACTCTATAACATGTAAATATTTTTATCAGAAAAGGTAAGTCAAATGAGAATCAACTGTACTGTCATGAAGACTCCAAAAACCGGTTGCAGATTTTAATTCTGTTAGCAAGGTCACGTGGTATCAAAGTACGGACTGCATTCATCATTTTTATGGCCGAAGTTGAAGCAGCTTCGTCGCTTTGTTTGCTGACAACTTCAAGATATCGATCACAGTAATTGCACTGACGTGTTCTAAACTAAACTCCATTTCCAATTTGCAGCGAACCTGTTCACGTAATGACAGTTGGATCCTTACGTATTTATTTAACGACACTGTTTAGTTACGGACGATTGATACAGTTGATCGTGAAATTAAACGTTTATCACCAGTGAATTGGGAAGAAAACAGAAAATTAGTCTTATGAAATACGTATCTAGATAGTACCACCTATGAGATAACACGGCGTAATAATCCAGATGACAATCGACATAATTTAATTTTCATATCATATTCTCTGTCTTTTAACTAGCATTTATTTAAGAAGTTTGTTAAGTATTCTCTATCTCGCCGACAGGAAAATTAAGTTATCTCGTATATAAACTTTAAAAAAGTTATTCTGACAGTGAATATGAATTTCTAATCAGATGCAATGACAATTTATATAGGAACTTATAGGTCCTGTTATTCTTTTGGTGCCTACGTATTTTTGCAAAGTCCACAGAATGTGATTTATTGAAGCAAAATAGCAAAACGTATGAATGAAATCAGCAAATTAAGAAGCGAAAGACGCAATATGCTATATACCTGTATGACTGTGACTTATGATGTTAAACTAAATTAAATTCAAAGAATTTAAGACATTTTAATCCCCAGACAATGGAAAATCAAATAAGGTTGCTCTTATGACACTGGGTAGCACGGCGGCGTAGTTTAAATGTTTTTGCCAAATTCATAATGTATTTTTCATTCTCAAAAACATAAATAATAATAATAATAATTTTATAATGTATTTCCTGTGTTATATTTGAAGCTTTCAAGGCGACTGAATCCAATGAATTCTTCTAGGGCAATCAGCCGTGTAAATACGAAAAGCACTTGACTCAAAATATCTACGAGCCCGTGCTACGTCACCGTAAGAGTGGAAGGGAATATGTAAAGGGCAAGAGAGGGGCAAGACGCCTTGTGCGCTATCTCTCCCCCTCTCTTCATATACCTCGGCTAGATTATCACCAATGTGTGTATTTGTAACATCAGCGAGCTCGGAGATAACTTGCGACAAGTATAAAATCAATTGTTTCGGAGACATGGAAGCGGAGCTTCGGGCAGAGGGCAGTCGAGTCACTCATAACATCTACCCTAATGATGAAGGCAGGGACATTTTAGCTCCACACTCAACACGGTTGATCGCCCGAGAATACTTCACTGCATCTCCTTAGTCATTAAATGGATTTATTTTGTTCCTTGTTATTTGTTTGTGTGTAAAGAAAATGCATACACACTCTGTATAATTAAAATTGCATGGTAATAGAACCCGATTGCTGCACATATCAATAGCCTGCCATTACATAGAATCAAAGATCCTTAGTCAGTTCCATCCATCTATAGTTACCAAAGTAAGTGTCCCGTGTTTTGGCACTTATATTACTCCGTAAAAGTTTTGATTAGACTAGTTATTAGTATGGGGGTCCACAGTGACCGCGTGGTCTGAGGCGTGGGCCTTGTGCCGCTAGGTCGCTGGGACCATGGGTTCGAATCCCACTCAAGTCATGGATGCTGTCCTGTGTACAGGTAGAGGCCTTGCGAAGGGGCCGATCCCTCGTCAAAGGAGTCCCACCGAATATAGATCAAACCAACGAAAAGTTGGGACCCGCAGTGCTCAGGCACTTGAAGAACGGGTCGTTCCCAGTATCCCAGTTATTAGTATACACATTAATCATTAGACATTTTTTCTAAATTAATTTAAAGAGTTCATGACTAATGCTCATAGTGTATTTTACCATTAGCTTAAATTTATAAATTCTCAACAGCAAATATGTAATTTCAGGGTAATTCTGCACATCCTTCGTTAAAGTGTAAGTCACGTAACTAAAACATATAAACAGAGGTTTAATTCGTATTGTTTTATAAAGTATTCAGAACTAGAGCTAAATCCGTGTGTTTAATTTGTAGCGCTACATCTATAGTTGCGTTCAATCGGCTAGAGTACTGGCAGAGGGGCAGGTGAATTCTACGGGGCTATTTCTATGGCAAGATTCTTAAAAAATGACTTGTATCCTATGTACAATTTACCTGTAGCTGAGGTAGCTCAGCCAGTAGGCTTAGACGACTGAATACAAGCTGGGTTACCGGGGTTCGTTTCCCCGCAAAAGATATTTTTACCTCCTCATTCTGACCTACTGTGATGCTCCCCCAGCCAGCTACCCTTTCTTTGGGGGTAAAGTGGAGAGGCATGACGTTAACCAACCATCACCATCTAGTGCCGAGATCAAGGAGAATTACCCGATACGTTTTCATGGCGTGGCTCTTAATAACTCCCAGGCAAAACATCTGTTTACATTCACACACTTCACTCGCCCAAACAAAGTTATCACTTGAATTGTATTAATTTCAGTTACTGTATGATAGTGAGAACAATTACCAATAATCTCTGATTTTCATCAAACTATTCTATAGCCTATAACCCATCAATTGTCCGTGATTCACTTTAATTGGACCATCTTATTCCTTGGATAATTAAGGGTGCCAATATTCTTATGTACTTGAAGTTGAAGACCACACAGTCGGTAACTGAAGTCATCTTTCGCTCAAAAAGTTTCGTGCAGACATATGAAGACTATCAGATTCACCACTTAAGTGTCGTGGCTACGAATTAGCCAGGAGGGACTGAAGAATTACACGAAACATTACAGTCAACTGGTATATAGGTAGAAATTCAAACCGATTACCAACCCATTCTTCGCTGAAATTGTGAAAAAGAGACTATATTTCTTTTCAACAGTACAAACAACATTCTCCGACAGGATTTATCACCTTCGACACAACTATAAATATTATGAAGTTTAATAATGTACAATAAACAAGTTAGGAAACGTACGAGTAGCGTAAAAACTACAAAGCCTTGGCCTCATATTGTCACTAGGTTTCTTTTCGTGAATGTTGCTGATGCTCTCCTATAAATGAAGTAAAGCAGACGTGGGGGAAGAGCAAGGACCTCTAGTATCATGTTTGATCAAAATCTGTCCACCGACTCCATAATTATGAGGTAACATAGCATAAATATTCCTTGCATTTAATTACTTTCTAAAGAAAAGAATGTTCTAGGTGCGTAATTTGTATTCTATTCCTTTCTACAACTTAACATCCAAAACACCTCTCGCTCCGATAAATATTTAGCAAGTTATGCTCAAGACGCATACAGAAACTCTTTGAGGACGTCCTGTAAAGTGTCCTTTGTTTAAATCGAATTTTAATCCAAACAGGAATGTGTTCACAGATTTTAGCGACACTCCCTAGTTTAAAGAAAATCGGTTCAGTGAAGCTAACACGCCTAGAACCATCCATATTGACAACATCTATCTAGATGTAAACAGCAAGTAGATTCAATGTAAGATTCCAGATTTTCTGCCCCCCCCCCTCTCCAACACCAGATGTTGTAACGCACCATTGCACAGGTAAATCCCATTACAAGAAACAGAATTCGTTTAATGTATGTAAAAACTGTCTGCTCTCGTTCAGCCAGGAGTGTCCATTTCCTTCCGCGTCTGTAAACAATGAGTGAAAGTTTTCGATTAATGTGGTATGAGACTGCAACATAACTGACAACGGGTTCGAATCCCGTTCGTGTCTTGAGTACAAGCAATTTTAAGTGTTATATTGCCTAAAGACTAGTTAGTCCAGTATTCATATCAAATGTGTTCAGAATTAATCGTCACATCCTCAAACCAAACAGACCTGCCTAATCTCTGACAGACGGAGAGGAGTGGACGCTATCCGACTATTCTACGTGATTGAAATTCAAGAATTAAAGTTACTATTGTTTTAACTTTTTAAATTGGATATATTCTATTTGAAGTGTACAGCTGTTTGTTTTCTTGCATTTGCAATAACGAGTTAGCATCCTATAATAAACTGGCAAATCAATAAAGCATGGGAAATCTCAAGAATGAAACAAAACAAAAAATGTGTAGATTCAATTAACTGTTGTACAGGGTTCCGAAATGTCAAAGTCCATGTTATTACTGTGTGTTTGTGCCGGCTACCAATTTATCCCCGTCTTCCTCACGCTGACAAGTCGTCCGGGTAGATACGTATCTAATTATCAACAAAAGACTTCTTGCTTTCTGGGTTTATTTATGAATAGTTTGTGAACTATTTATGCTGCTGGTAACTGAAATATGTCATAAAACTAAGTAGTCGTGACCAAGAATTTTCCTGGGTAGACTAGAGAAAATTGTGGATCCAATTAGAATATAATTCTAACACACACATGACATAAATTCAACTTTAGCAAAGGCCTCATAAAACTGGGAACAACTGGAAAGATTATACCATCTCGTAAACATTACTGTCAGCGTACGCTTATCTGTACAGAGGACACCCCTGGTAGAAACACTCTCGCCGATATCGCGATAATAGTCCACATTCACTTTGTTGGAATTGACTCCAATTGCACGAGGACAGTGTCATGACCACTGTCGCGTGAAGTTCGCTATATAAACGTAGTGTCGCTTGCTTCACACTTGATTGAGACCAGGTTGTGTTTGGCTACAAGAAGCTTCAAGATGAGACTGCTGGTAAGTTCAGTTGGCTGTGTGCGATTCACGCAACAGCTACGCTATCTGTGCTCATACTATAGCGGGAATCGATATATCGCAGGTGCCAGAAAGTCCAAACGATACAATCGAAATACGATTGCTGCTTTTGGGCTTCTGTTTAAAAGTAGGCTTATTCCTTTATCCTAGAACCGGAGATAGACTTAAACGATCGATATTTACAGCCCACACGAAAATCGATATAAAGAGCCCCATAGACATCAGCCTGCATTCGCAAACAAGTAAATTTGTCAAATAACCGGCTGGTGTAGTGTGTAGGGTAGCCTAATTTACGAAGTAACTTTACGCATGCAGACTAGTGACGATTAAGGGCTCTTTAAGAGAGACGAAAGACATTGAAAGAATTAAAGGCAAGTCCAATATTACATAATAATTTAAAGTGCTAACAGGTGGTGTAATTCATTGACTGCTACAAAAGGATTACTAAAATCGATTTTATTTACTTTATTGCGTAATAAGTTTCAATTTATTTATAAATACGGCTGTGTTAGCTTACAACTGGTAAAATTGGCCTATAAAATTTATCTTTTGTTTGGATTAGGAAATACATGTTCTCTCTTTACACGGAGGATACACAATAAAATATAAAAATTTCCTTTGAAGCTTGAGTATCGCATACGACAAACTTATCTAAGTTAAAATTATTCTTGTTACATTTTATTTTATTTTATTTATATTTGTTCTATTAAGATAAACACTTCTTTCTCGTGCTCCGTAATAAGCGATTCTTCAAATTCCTTCATTTTAAGATTGTGTGAACTTCTTCTAGTAATCACTGTATAGATGGTATTTTCATTCCACGTTTTTGAGTTCGTACCCAGTGAGTTAATGAGCCGGGATAGCTCAGTCAGTATAGTGACTAGCTACGGGCTGGACGACCGGGGTTCGATCCCCGACGGGGGCAGAGGATTTTTCCTCTAGCCTCTGCGTCCAGACCGGCTCTGGGGCCCACCCAGCCTCCTCTACAATGGGTACCGGGGTCCTTTCCCGGGGGTAAAGCCGGCCGGGGCGTGATGCTGACCACTCACCCCCATGTAGTGCCGAGGTCAAGGAAGAGAGGAGCTATACCTCCACTCACCCCAAATGCCTACATGGCATATAGTGGGACAAACTTTACTTTACTTACCCAGTGAGTTAAATGTTCGGTCAAGTTTGTTTTGATTTTCTTTACTCGACAAAATTTCTCCTTTTACTACCACTGCCTAATGTACATTCTTTGCACAAAGTAACATGATTGCTGAATTAGAAATGATATGGAAAATGTTGTGGCTTAATGTAGGCTGTTATTCCGGCATTTTTCTGGATGGACTAAAAAAAAAAAAAACACAAATACTCTCAATCAGAACATCCAGTGTCCTGGGCGAAATTTGTACTCCGAATCTCCAAATACGAACCAGGAGTGGCAATGTTGTCTTCTGGGTTGTAACGACGTGTGTGAAGTGTTACTAGCTTCGTTATGATACAATTTCTGAGTAGTCTTCACTTCTCTGGACTCCACTCTTCGTGTTGCGAACTTGTATAATTTTTCTGTGACCTTGAAGCATGCAATTTGGTGGTGGCTACTGAAGACCGGGCAGAATTACAACCCACAAGACCAACATCGCCATTTCACTATCAAAAGAAAAATACAGTTTTTCCCCTGTGCAGTGTGGTATCGATAGTGTGATTTATCAGTGATCTAACAACAGAGTTGTACCTGAAATAGACGAACGTAAAGGACAATGAGATGTGAGAATGTAAAGAACAAATTTAAAAAAATAAGCGGGGTACGTGTAACACCAACGGCACGTGTGAATGCAGGTCGCCCACGGACTGTATGGACGCCACCCAATGAAGTAGCCATGCTGCATTCACAGGAGCTGTTGGTGTTATACGTCCTGTCTCACGGAGACGCGTCTGCAGTCGTCGAAACAGCGTATGGATTACGTCGACCAGGATAAAGTAGCACGTAGTTTTAGCTTGTCTGTCATTTCTACATATTTCCATTGAATTTTCAATTGTATATTGTCTGCGTTATAGAGAAGCGTGGTAAAACTGGCAGCCCGTGGGCCACATCCGACCCCAGACCACTTATAAACACGCCCGCAAAATTATTTTTAATATATTGTTAGTTACTACAAGCTCATTTATGTTTTTTACTCTAAAGGATTTAAATAAATCGTTACTCTTATTTCGTCTGTTACTTTACGTTTGTCTCACACATGTATCATCAAACAAGACTATTATTCCGGTGGAAAAACGATGTGCCACGTTAAATTTCGGCCAAGAAATTTTTATCATAGGGCGTCAATAAATTGTCTCTTTCCTTTTAAGTAGTATTCACGAGGCACTCTCCGCTATACATGAACTTGACTGGCGGTGGAGCGTGATGTTTTCAAAAGTGTTAACAAAATCAATAGGAGGGGAAGGGGGCTATGAAAAGTTGGCAATTGAATTTGGACATTGTTCTTTAGCTTACATGACGCACAATCACAAGTCACAAAAACGACACACGCTTGTGGATCAACACATGTACTTCCAATGTCAGGCTATCAAACATTTATATTCAATGATTTGTGATCTTATTGCAAATCCTATCGAGAGGTCATCGATTCCTGAAATCATAATTAATAATATTTTATGCTACTGTGCGTTATGATCTGGGGATTACAGAATTACAGGTTGGTAAGAAATTATTGATAATTTTAATTCCCCTTTAAACTCTTGAAGCGGTAGCTCGTCTCAATAATATTCAAAATTTTAGTCTTTGCAGAAAAAATCACCATTACAAAAATTATATGGTTCATTCTGTTTAAAAAATAATCCCTGTTTACACCGAGAATCATACGGAATTCATAAATACAAACTGCATGGCGTACGTATAAAATAAGATTGTTCTCGACAAGAAATTCTTGTGAAACTCTTGGTTTCCTCATGTTTGTCCGTCTGCCAGTACGCAAGGAACAGGGTTTCTCTGTTCCATAAGTTACCATTAACTGAATATGTTCCACTGCAGAAAGTCTTCGCATATCTCTATCTTGATTTCGACTGGTTCATTCTTATGACCACTTTACTTCTTAGCACAGATTAACTTTGAGTCTGTTGGCAGACCTTGATCAAACTGTGCTTAAAGTAAGACACTTTTAATATAAAAGCTTATGTTTAATCCGCTCTGATTATTTTTAGAGACTAAGATAAATCGATTCAATTTAACTCACTGTAACTTAATGGACCAAACAAACTTTTGCATTTGTAGGCCCAATAATTGGAGACCTTCGATAGATCTTTGTAACACTTTGAATTTATGAGTATTACCATGTTAAAGTTTCGTTACCTTTAATTCATTCAGGGGCATAAATATCTGATAACACATTTGCATAAAATTACTGATTCCGATAAAATCACTAGTACAATAAAAATGCGTAATCAAAGTCGTTCTGCAAGCTCCTGCCATTGCCCTGTCATCTACATTATATCCTGTCGATCTATAACAAACTGCATGTAATTAAGTACTTAAGTCATAAATATGTATTATGTGTAAAGTAAACGTATATTTTTATTGCCAACTCAATGGCTGACTTAGCCCAGTCTTCCTCTTATACGCTAGTTCTATAAATATTTGACTAATCAGTACAAGGACAGGGTTGTGGTGTA